GAATGATATTCAAATTACAAAGGGTAGGGAAACAAGGTGAAGAGGAAAACAAAGCTGAAGGTGAGTGAGGAAATAGTACGAGACTAAGCTCCAGCTCCTTTCCATGAGTTTAAGTCTCTAAGCTCAAATGAATCACATTCCCGTGTTCCTGAAGAATGTGCAGGCGTGATTGCTGAACCACTGACAGTGATTTGTGAGAAACTGTAGAAAAAAGAAGAGGTAAGAAAGGTTCAGGGAAGATTGGAGACAAGGAAATGTCCTGATCTTCACAAAGGAGAAAAAGGTGCATCTGTGGAAATGACAGACCAGCAAGCTTGACGTCAATCCCCAGCAAAATTCTAGAAAGGATTAATAAACAGATGGCTTCTGAACAGTGTTCACTCTCATCTTCAAAAATTGTAAATAAACCCCGTAGCATGGAAACAAACAAACATCATAAAGAGTGTGGTACAGTAGGGAAAGTACTAGATTTGTTGTTAGAGGATATGAGTTCAAATTCCTCTGCTTATGACCCATGTGTGACCTTGGGAAAGTCACTTAGTGTCCCTGGGGATGTTTCCTTATGTGTAAAATCAGAGTATTAGCCTCAATGGAATCCAGCATCCCTTCCTGATCTAGATTGATGATCCTAGGTTAGTACCAGAATCTCTATTCCTAGGCCACTGGGCCTGCTCTTCAACCAATGGTCTCAGATGCTCAAAGAAGTAAGACGAATATTCACCTAGCTCCTCATATTAAACATTTACCAAGATAGCCAGGCTTCCAGATTCCTATAAATGAGTCAAAAGCTTACATCCAACTAAATAAATCAATCAACAAGCACTGAGTAGACATCTACTATGTTCCAGGCACTGTGCTAGGTTGATGGGGATGCAGAGTCAAAAATGAAAAGAGTCTCTGTCCTCAAAGAAACTTATATTCTACCAGGGGAAACATGTCAGCCATTCATGATATTCCCTTTGCAGTCTCTGCCTTTGTACATGCTTTCCTCTCATACTTTGAATGTGCTTCCTCTTCATCTTCACTTCATAAAATCTCTGGTTCCCTTCAAAGCTCAAGTTCCACTTCCTACATGAGGCCTTTCCTGATCCCCCCCCGGTTTTCTAGTACCCCCCCATTCCCTAAACAACTTTGTATTTACTTGGTATATTCCTTGTATTTACTTTAGATGTACAGTGCCTTTGACAGAAATAACTAAGTTAGGAACAGGAATGTTTTTGTTTTTGTTGTTTTGGGAGGTGGGGAGATAATGTTTGCTTGGGATATATTGTGTTTGAGATACTTAGAACACGTGCATCTGGAAATGTGGATACAGGATTGCATATGTGTGTGTATATAGGCATACACACATATAAAAAAAATGTGTCTATGCTACGTGGCTGTTCTAATATATATTTGAGAGTCATCTGCATAGAGATGATAACTGAATCCGTGATAGCTATTAACTCATGACAGGATACAAAAGAGGATATGTAGAGCAAAGACAACTTAGGATAGACACTTGAGGCACTCCTGTTAAGGGGGTGGGACATGAATGATGATCCAAAAAAGAGAGAGGAGCTTCCAGGCAGAGGAGAGCAGAGTTAGGAAAACACAAAGACAGGAGAATATCTAGGAGAGATGGTCAGCAGTGCCAAATGCTGCAGATAGATTGAGAAGGATGGGAACTGGGGGGGAGGGGGCAGGGGGAAGGTCATTAGAAGTGGCAAGTAAAAGAACACTGGCAAATTTGGAGACAGCAGAGAGTGCTGAGGTCTGAAGTCAAGAGGCTGAAAAGTGAAAGGAGAGGAAAGAGAGTCAAAAGTGTTGACTCTCTAGGATGTTTTTATCTAGTTTGGCTGTAAAAGGGAGGAGAGATTTATGGCACAATCATTTCTTTTTCCTGACATCTTGTGGAATAAGTCTCTTTGCAATACCCAGGGGCCAATGGATGTCATAAAATTCTCACTGCCCCATCCCCCCCCCAAAAAAAACATTCTGCCTCAGAACAAAACTAATTTTACCTAAATAAAGTAGCTAAAGCTAGGCTTTTGCCAAACAGCTTTAGAAAAGAATTTTGATAAGGCATGTTTTAGAAGGTATCAAAAAGTAATTTGAGAAACTAATTCTATAAGGAGAACCTGAACTTTAAAATCTAATTTAGAAAATGCCATTGTGCCTTGACACTTTGTACACGGGGCAATTTCCAACAGGCTTCTTACTATATTTGTTAATCCTAACTAGGGATAGTTTAGCAGTCATGTAGTTACCTGTGATGTGTCTAATTCTTCCCACTTTAGGTAAGTAACTCTCATAGCTACTTTTTTTCTTATTCGTGCCACTAACTTCACTTCTGTGGTTTTGGGAAAATCACTTACCCAAGCTGGGCCTGTTTTCTCATCTGTAAAATGAGGAATTTGGATCAATGATCTCTCAGGGCCTTCCAGTTTTAACCATGTAATTACACATACCATTTAGATAAGCAGGGAATCAGTAAACTAAAATCCTTCCATTAGGACAAAGGACCACCTCTGCCCTAAGGCCCACCAGCCTTACCATCAGCGCTGCCTCAATGCCTCATGGATCCTCAGGATTGCCATGTGCCCAACAGATACACTCTAAGGACCTTTGGGCCTTTTCATCTATCCTTTTGTTGGACCGTTAAACCTATCAATATGCTCTGCAACTAAACCTTCCTATATGTGTTGTTTCTCCCAATTAGAATGAGTTCCTTGAGAATAGGGTCTCACTTTTCTATTTGCATCTCTAGCACTTAACATAGTGACCATATCAAGTGCTTAATATAAATGCTTTTTAATCCATTCATATGCTTCAAAAGCTCTGTGATTTCATAAAGGTATACAATCCCTCCACTGATGTAGACTGTAAACCTTCAATGCCTCAGGAAAGTTTCATGAGTTGCCATAACCAAAATTCATCACCGGATAGCCAAACATCAGCTGACGGGCCTCTTAACTAGGTCAGTCTTCTGACAATAGAGACATCTTGTCACCAGACCTACATACAAACTAGCTTTATAGACTGGTTTTCTGGCTTCTAGACTGGCAGAGCCTTCAAGGACCCAGTCACAGCCATGCCACAATGATACACCTGAATTGGACGTCAGTAGAGGCTAATTAGACAGACACAAATCTACACATACACAACACCACACACTCACACATGGCAATCAGATGGGCTAACAATGTTATCAATATGAAAATTATTGCTTAAAATAACTATTCCACAAGGGAGCTGGGAGAACTATTTAAGAAAGTTTCCAGAAACAACTGAACAGCATTCATTTAGCCAAGTAGCCTCTTCTTGGAGCTGCTTCCAAAGTCTGTGTGCACAGGGAAAATACATTTGAGGTGGGGGTAAAAGAAAGCTTGGGGCCCCGCTCCACGACCAGAGCCAGGCCTGATATATCTGTAGACCTGGGGTTGGGGAGGTAGGGTGTTTGCAGAGGGCTTACAGATCTGAGGAAACAGTGCCACCTGGAGGCTAACACTTGTGCACCCAAACTCTCAATTTCTGAATGGTGTCTCCTAGAAATCTAAGAGCATTCAGATTTGACTGGGTCTTGCTACTCTGCAATTATAGTGTACCTCCAACCAAGGGGACAGATTCAGAGCTCAAGAGCGACACTGATAAGTTCTTTCTTCAAAAGTTACTTTATTGATTTGTATTGCAGGCCTGTCACATTGTTAAATCAAAGCATAAGCACCTCATTTCTGGGGATCCCAGTCTCAAAATTAAGAGCTAGAAAGAACCCCAAAAGGCCATCTTATCGAGTCTCTTCATTTTACAGATGAACGAACCAAGACACAGAGAAGTGAAATGAATAGGTTTGTTCAAGGTAACACAGTAAGCTAAGAGCAGGCCTGGAACCCTAGTCTGATTCCCAACTCCATGCTAATTTTTACTATAATACTTTTCAGTTTTTCCTCCTTTCCTTGTATACCCTTTCTCAAACTCTCCAACCAAGTTCACTCTCTATATGGAGTCTGATTTCTTCTCAAAGCACTGCTTAACTCAGACCTCTTTTAAAGAATTTTTTCCCTTTGGTAATCCTGTTAACAGATCTGGGTTCCAATCCTTTCCTCAATGAGATTCCTAATCATGAGTCCCTCAGGGTGGGTCCCGCTTCTGGCTGCTAGTAGAATAAGACTTCTATTTGTTCTATCAAGCAATTCACAGGCTACCTCATCAAGATTAACAAACATCTTACCAGCTGTCAAATCACCACCTTAGCCAAGAAAACAGAGGAGACAGAGTGTAAGCCTTTCCTATCTTATGCACCATAAGATACAAAAATATTCACTGGGGATTAACAGACTGAAGGGGCCAAGTCCTACTGAGAACAAGAAACACGATCTTGTCAGTTCCTACGTTAATGGAGGTAGAGTGTGCTTTTCAGCTGTAAGAGATTCCTCCTCCAAAGCACTGTACCTGTCAGATAACAGAAATGACTTCTGAACAAAATAAATCGCTGTTCTGTGCAACAGGCCTGAGAGGCATTTATTTTCTGTCCTTGGTAACCCATTTTTTCAGTCTCTTAAATAATAATGCTTCCTGAAATGATGTTTAATTAAAAAAAAAAAGGCATTTTCCCAAAATGTGAAACTGACCTTTTCTTTCTCTTTAAGAAGATGGCTAGAATGCTTGTGAGATACTAAGTTAGTTCAGAGAATTTTTTTTCTCTTTGAGTTGCAACAGTCCCACAATAAGTATCCTTAGTTAATTACAATTGGCTGCTATTCCAATGAGAAACCAGATTATCTCTGGTTCCTCTCTGACCCCTGAGTAAGAAAAGAAAGCAAGGAAAGTAGTCAGAATGACTGGGTGAAAAGGGCTGAGCCAGCCCTGTGAATGAGAGGGCCAACCTAAGAGGGAAGGTTGGCCCTGCCTAGGACAGTGCAGGAAGAAGAGAAGGGAGTATTTCTAAGAACTCAGAGAACAGTTGTGGGACAATGTGAGAAAGAGGTGATTACAGCAATAAATACCTAAGTACCAGCAAATAGCAGAAATCAAACCCACAAGCATTTATTAAACATCCACCACTGCTGGGCACTGAGCTAAGTAAGCACTAAGTGGAGGGGTTGGGGAAGAAAGAACATTTAAAATTTTCTGTATATCTCAGTTTCAAGATGAGAAATAAAAGCCAATTTTACTTCTGACGCTAGCTCAGAGGAGATAGTAAGCAAAATTACAACCTAGAGAAGTTTGTTAATATCTCTTACTAACAAATTCTTGGTCATGAAATAAACAAAAATTTCTGGACTACAAAGGTTCAACTTTGACACTGATGATGCAATCACAGAATTTCAGAGTTGGAAAGTATCTTCAAGGTCACCTAGTCGTACATCCCACCCAGGGAAGGAATCTCTGCAGCATCCCCTGAAGTGGTCACCCAGCCTCTACTTGAACACCTCCAATGACAGGGAACTCACTGCCTCACAAGGCAGGCCATTCCAAGTCCAGAAGGCTTTAACTATTGTCACAATTCTCCTTTTGGAGTTTCGCTGTGTTTAATCCTTCTTTCACATGGAAACTCTTCAGATATTTGAAGACAGTTACTGTGTCCTCACTAAGACCTCTCTGACAGTGTAAAGTTCCCTAGTTCTTTCAGCTGATTCTCCTAGGTCCTGAGTCCCCTCAACATTCCTGCTGTCTTCTGGATGGATGCCAGTGCCCTCCCTAAAACATGACACAGGATAAAATGAGATGAAATACAAATGAGATTCACAGGAACATGGGTCAAGTTCTAAAGTCCAGCTTTCTTAGGCTCCCACCGTATAAACATTCAGAATCCAACCAAAATTCCAGATACAGGATGAAATGCTTCTAAAAAAGCAGTGGCTAATGATGCTTAAGAGGGGGAAAAACAAATTAAAGAAATGCATAGTTCTCAACGTGCATTGTTGGACAGCTTAAAGGATAACAGGATCCCCAATAAGCATAAGTGAAGAGAAGGTAACAGATCACCAAGTACCCTAGTGTGGCTCCTCTATTTTAACAAAGGATTTCCTTTACGTAATGCCTCAGAAAGCCTGTTGGTCCTTCTCCAAACACAATAGTCCCATGATTCTGAAAAGCATCATTTATTGGAAAGGTGATATACAGGAAGTCCACCTAATAACTGTCAGGCCAACTAAGGTGCTGTGAACTCCCTTCAAAAAATAGCCTTCCCACAGGGAAGTGGATGCCAGTTCTCCACTAAGTCAGTGTCCCTGATTTCTTGGTCTGGAATCAGGGGCCACTTCCTTCCGGGACACAGCTCCCAAAAGGCCCTGGAAGCAGAAGAAAACAGTATTTTCCCACAGATAAGAGGAAGTCCCCTGAGGCGCCCTGCTTCACTCCTCTCTTGTCCTGCTGATGTGGCACATTTTCTGCCAAATCTCCTTCAGGCCACAAACGTAGGACAGTCTTATATAAAGTCAAACTCCATGATATTCTGGCAGGAAGTTCATCAAAATTAATAGGCATTTCCAAAGAATGGCATAAGTAACGATGCCAGAAGAAGATTCCTTACAAGGACGGTGCGGCTTCCATGGGAAAACAAGGCTATTTAATTTTAGCAAGGGCAGCTGCTCTTCTTTCTGTGTTCTGGAACAAGGCCCGGATTAAAGCCTTCACCTCACCAGAGGAGAAGGCAGTTGCCAAGGGACCCTTCCCATCAGCCCACCTGGAAAACAAAAGATACAACAGATGATTTCCCACTGGATGCACAAGACAGGAACAACTGGAAAGGGTTTCTTCATTTTGCTTTGGGCATGTTTTAACCAGAAACAAGGGCATTTATTGATCTTCCTAACCATTTCTAAGGAGGGTCAAAAGCAAAGAGGGATAAAGTAAATAAGGATGTCACTAGAGAAAGAGAACAGAGGCCGACAAATTACATAGCTGAAGCAGTCTGTTTTCCTTTACTCTGAAATCACTCAGTCTGTCTGAACTTGTTTATGACATCTCAACTCTCATGGCTAGGAGTCTATTATTTTTCAAAAGCAAACCAGCAACACGTAAAACCTAGAAGCAAATGAATGCAGTAATTCAGTGTTTAATAAGTTCAAGAACACAGTCTGCTGAGGGAAGGACTATTTGACAAGAATTACTAAAAGTGTGAAACAATATGGCAGAAAGTAGACTTCGACCAGCAGGATATACCATATACCACAATAAATTCTAAATGGATAATCACCTACAAGTAAAAGGTCACATCAGAAAAAAAATTAAGAGAATAGGAGGAGATAAACCCTTAATAACTACGGTCAGAGGAAGAATGCATAACTAAAGGACAGAGGAGACTGCAAAGACGAAACAGACAATTTTGATTATATGATAAAAATTTTGCACAAACAAAACAAACATAGTAAGAATAAGGAGAAATGCCGTCAAGAGGGGAAAAAAATCTTTGCTACTCTTCTGGTAAAAGCATAACAATGACTTTTCTAAAATATCCAAGAGACTCTTCTTTGTTTTTGGTCTAGAGGAGAACACTGGCTTTACAGATGTTGTCCAAGGGTTTTTCACCCCTAAAAGTCTACAGGAGCTTGCATTCCTGCCCCCAAGTCATCTTTCCCTTTCACAGTGGTCTGGTAAATAACAAATGAAGCTTATAGGTCAAAACCTTTTCCTGAGTAAGTGTTGAATCAGAAGTACTTTAACACAGTAAGTAGGAATATCGTTTACATGTTTGTATGATGGGGAATCTAAGGAAATCAATTCAGATACAGCTAAGCTCACTGGTTTACCATAGCCATATCAAAGGAGATGAGTCACCAAGGTGGTTACAAAGAGAGAAGAATCTAAGACCAACTCAAATCACAAGACACATCCCACTAAACCAACAGAGAAGTAGCCTCTGAAGATAATCAAAATGATGTCTAGCAATAGAGGTATGTAACACACATACCTAGAGAGAGACTGCCAATAGGACAGCAAAAGCATTTGCATCTATGTAATTGAACCGTAACTACTGTATAACAACATACACTACAATCTATGCACTCAGTGGACATAAACAAGACTAAACGATGGTGGTAAAAAGGAAACAGCAGAGGAAGTTGTCTTTTGCTAATGCCTTTCTCAGTATTAAATAAACAGTGAATCCTTTTCTAGAAGGGTATCTATATGGTGCTTAAATTTTGAAAGCTACTGAACCTCATGCAGAAAAGTTGTCCAGCAGTCTCTGGGAGGCAGCGTGCACACTGCACACACATAACTCATATTCATTATAGTGAGAAATCCCTGTAATTAATTCAAAGGAGTTGTCATTTTCATTCAAGTTTCAGAAGACTGTAGTCAACATCTTGCTCATTGCCTATTCCTGTTAGATCCCCAAATATTTAGCAGAGACCAAAAGAATATTAAAAAGGGGTTTGCATGTTACCTAATCTAAAAAAGTGGCTGCAGCAGTAAGGAGATATCAGACACAATTTACCAAAGGAAAGAACTCAACTATTACTTAAAAGGAAAAGCTTTGAAGTCTTGATAAAGTCAAGGAGCAAAGCAAAGCACTATGGCTTAATGGTTAATACAAAGGGGTGCGTGCCTCCAGAGAAAAGTTATACATACCGATCCCCAATTTCTTGCAAGCTTGCCTGTAGCAGCAGCATCAACTCTTTGAATGACATCCACTTTGGCACATAGACAGGAACCTCTTCTTGAAATTTCTTGTTTTCTTTTTCTTCAGGTAATGGTGTAAACACCTGGGGTCCTTCTTCCACTATTGTTCTGCACAAAGAGTACAATCTGTCGCCATCTTGGGTAGAGATGTCCTGGCATTGAACAAAAAGGGAATGGAAAGGGAAAGAAGACAAGTGGGTCACACTGAAGGTGGAGAAAAAGGTTTAATGAATCTTTGGTGCGCACTCTCCAAGTATGTTAAGCTGAAACAATACATCATTCCAACCAGTTTTAGCACACCATGTCAGACACCAGGTTTCATCAGCTTCCTGACACTATTCCTAAGTTAGAATGACATGTAAATACATTTCAACAGATTGTCAGCAATTTATTTTGCCTGCCTGAAAAAAACCTATTTCTTCAGTAGAATGTGGTACAGCTTGCTACAGAGCAGGGAACATTATCACAAGTAAGGGTTTGGGCAATTTATGCTTCAGTGGCATCAGCTGGCAGAGCCAAATCAATTTTCCTGTACATATATATACACATGATTCAAACTGGTACACAGTATGGAACAGGCATCTTTTGGGGGTTGAAGGTCAAATTTAAAACTAAAACAAAGGAAAAGATCACCTACGTGAGCAGATATAAGACACGCAGTCGTTTTACTGACTGAGTGATGGAACCTGGAAACGTTGCTCATTATCCTTGGCAAAATGAGTGTGGAGAAAGAACTCACTCCAGCTGGACACCTGGCGAGCCATAGCATGGCACTTACCTCTAGGGCAGTGATTCTGCCAATGATCTCAGCAATGGCTGTGTTAAGTAAGGTCCCCATAGCTTTGCAATATATATTTACTGGAAGCACATCTTGCCACACAACTCCAAGTCTTTTTAACTGATGCAGTACCTGGTAGCAAGACACATTTATTTACTTTGGAGTTCAGTTTTGGTTTTTTTTTTCAGATCCAAATTTAAAATACTTTCTAAGGCCATACTTTCACATAGCTAGAGGAAGAAGTAATCAAAAACACATGTTTCTTAAATACTTAACCTTCATTCACTTCTGCCCCATATCACAGATGGGAAAACTACAAAAGAAACCTTAAGTCCTTGGAGTAAGGTAGTGGGTAGAAGAGGATGGATCAGAATTGGAAGCTATTGATTCTAGTTTCCCCAAACCTTGATCCAACCTTCAATTACTCACTGTTACCAACTTATACATATTAATCACCCTCCTGGATAAGAACAGATTATCCCATCCCATTGGCCCTATGGGACAAGAAGATAAAGGGAGAGGCCTTAAATGTGGTCATAAAGGACATGAAGATTCACCAACAAAGCTGGTTTTCCTATCTTCTCTGTTACATAAAAAAGGCCCTCTGAGGGCAAGAAGGCAGCTAGTTACAGAGTCTCCCACCTGCCGAACTGCTCTGCTTGCTGCAGAATAATTCTCTTCATCGTCCATGTTTGAAAAGTTCCTTGCACTTGATAGTCGTTCCAGAAGCTCCCCCTTTTGTGCCCTCATCTGGGCCAGAAAACATTCTGTCCCTGTGACAAGAAAGAAGACACAAAGGAGGACACTGGAAGCTGCTTAACGGCACGTTGCTTTTAAACAAAGGGGGAAGGAAGAGAAGCTAGGGACCTGTCCTGTGTATCTGGAGACAAACTCCAGACAGCATCATAAATCTACCAAGAAGTTCACCAAAAATTAACTTCTAACACATTAGCCACTTTCTCCCAATACAATAAAGAATCCATCTGCAGTGGTTTGCCCAGAGACAGAATCAGCAAAGAAAAATCACTACTCAAGTACCCCCTTCTACAGCAGGCGAGGCTATATATTATTCTGGTATCTCTACACCACCTAAGGGAAAAGTCAGAAATTGAAAGACTAAGTGATCTGTATAGATTTTCTGCTTTTGTCAGGCTATCATTATAGCAAATATATTAGTTTATACCACATTTCATTTCCTTTGATTTTTAATAATCTCAAGAACAGCTTAAGGGGGTGAGGGGAAAGCTCTCCTGGGTTTCGCAGTAGAACAAGCTCTGACATTAGAGTGCCATTACCAACAATGCTAACGGAATTGTCACAATACAAATCTCATTACATGTCATTCTGCTGACATAACTCTGATCTGGTATATTCACTGCACGCTTGCAATACAGTTGGGAACTCTAATGTACCATGAAATCATGTCATGAAAAGTACACCGGTACAAAGGCTGCCTTCACTTTGTAAAATTAAATAACCACTCATACTTGCAAATTAAATCACCATACACTCTCTAATCTAGCTCAAGACCACCACCCCATCTCCAACCCTCTCATTCATAATTTACAAAGATGGTGAGCTGAGGTTCTATGCCATCAATCATGCCTTCATGATATTAAAGGCTTAAATTACCAAGTCTCCTGAAGCCTGGTACAAGATCCACAAAAGTAGTGGTGCCATCACAAAGAACAGGGGCAAGGTGTAACTTGAATTGATGCCCAAGAGTCAATAAGTGATGAGCAATGTACATGCAGTTGTTGTGATGAATGGCAGCCAGCTGGGGAAGTTTTTGAAGGTTCTCCCTGAGTGAAACGAAATGGAGAGAGGGAAGAAACCAACCATTAGTCACATATGGGTAAATGATAAGGAAAACAAATCCCTTGACTGCTCTGCACAAAGAGTGCAGTGAGTTTTCAATTGACAAATGGTCAAATGACATGAACAGGAAGTGTAAATGCTCTAAATCACTAATAATTAGAGAAATGCAAATTAAAGCAACTCTGAAATTCTATCTCGCACCCATCGGAATGGCAGTTGATTAAAAAAAAACAGAAAAATGATAAATGTTAGAGGATCTGGAGGGAAACAGGTACTTTAGTGTACTGTTGGTGGAGCTGTGAACTGGTTTGGACATTCTGGGGAGCAATTTGGAACTAAGTCCCAAAATACTAAACTGTGCAAACCTTTTGACCCAGCAATACTATTAGAACTGCATCCCAAAGAGATCAAAGAAAGGACCCATATGTAAAACATTTATTTATTCATTCATTTATTTGCAGCAGCCCTTTGTGTAATGGCAAGGAACTGGAAACTAAGGGGATCCGTCCATCAGTTGGGGAATGTCTGAACAAGTTGTGGTATATGAATGTAATGGAATACTACTGTGCTATAAGAAATGAATGGATCAGAGAAACCTAGGAAGATCTGTAGGCACTGAGGTAAAATGAGCAGAACCAGGAGAACAGAGTTATTTATATAACATCAATATCGTAAAAGCAAACAACTTTGAAAGACTTAACAACTCTGATCAATACAAGTATTAACCACAATTTCAGAGGAATCCTAATATGCTACCCACCTCCTGAAAAAGAAGGGATGGACTCAAGATGTACATTGAGACATAAATTTTTTGGACATGGACAATATAGGAATATTTATTGCTTGACTATGCATATTTGCTACAAAGATTTTATTTTTCTTTCTTTTTCAATGGGGAAAGGAAAGATAGGAAGGAAAAGCAGATCTGTGTTCATTGAAAAAAATAAAATTTAAATTAAAAAAAATGCAATGAAGTTGTACATGATGGCCTTTACAATTTAATAGTGTGAATGCAGTTGTCAACACAAGCTTGACTTTTCTCTTCTCTAAACTCTTTAACAATTACAGTCAGTTTAACAGGGGCTTAACACTTAATTGGTCAATAATTGTTTCTTGTCTCTTCAACTAAATTTTTGGCTTCCTGAGGGCAGGAACTAATATTAAACGTTTACTGCATTTCCCACAATAGCAAATACTCAATGAATTAATTCTCAATTGACTGTAAGTCTAGAGTACAAAAAAGCTTAAGAGTCAGTAGTCAACCATCTAGGAAATATTCCCAATATCATAAAGCCAGAAGAGAGAGAGAGAGAGAAATTTGATGCGTCTAAAGAGTGAAGAATATTCCTGGCCACAGAAATACCACCAAGATCAAATGTCTGGATAAAATCACCTGGGGATGTGATTTTTAGCTCAGTCAGGGGCTTTCTTATCTTTTCATTCAAATGATTAAGTGGCTAACACAATGTGAACTTCAAACTCAAACCAACAAGTGTGTCAAAAATTAAAAGTAATCAGATTTCTCCTCTGCAGTAAGATGACAACAGGTATGCTTGCTTTAGATCAATCCCTTTTAGTGAAATATAAGCTTACAAATCCTTTATATTACAAAATGATTCTTCTTTCTAAGGAGCAAGTAATTTTATTCACATGTCATTAAAAACATATAGCTGACAAATCTTTAGAATCTTTGAGACTTAAGTGTGTAGTGATTTTTAAATCACAAATCATTAAATCTGGAAGACTGAAAAGCTAGATTTTTGGTTTGTTTGTTTTTTTAGTTTATGCTGACAAAAACTTTACTAAAGGGTCAATCTTTAAATAGATAAACAGGAATGGTTTGTTTACACAAACAGTTAAATACATACTGAGACAACTGTGAAGAGTGGGAGGCCAAATCTGGCAAGTTTCCAAGAAAGGTCTTAAAATAGTGAATCTGCAAGACAGTGGGGAAAAAAAATCCTCAAAGGGAAAATGCAATGCATTTATTGGGCAGCATTCAACCCAATGAGCAGTTTTTAAGCACAGCAATGTGATCAGTGTCTTGTTGGGGACACAAAGACAATAGAAGGCCCTACCCTCAGGGAGCTTACATTCTCCTGGAAGGACACAACATGTACACAAGTAGATAAATTCAATATACATAGATATGGTCTTCCTGCCTCCTGTCAAACTGCAGCAAGTTCCTCCCCACAGGTTCTGAGCTTAAAGTACCAGCACCCTGCTCCTCCAGCAACTTGGCCAAGATTAAAGCTGAGACCTGAGGCTGCCCCCATGGCTGAATGAAAGGAGGAAAGGAATCACTATTTATATAGTCAGACAACTTGAGACTCAAATCCACTGTTGATTACTTCCCGTAAACCTTGGACAAGTCATTTAACTTACAGGGCCTAAGTTTCATCTGTAAATTGGGAGGATGTTGTTCTAAATGGCCTCCACAGTCCCTTCCAGCTCTACAGCTCTTTGTGTGTATAAATGTAAAGTAACTTAGGGAGGAGAGAATACTACCAATTGGGAACAAGAGGAGAGACTTGATGTAAGCAGTGGCACCTGAGCAGAGCCTTGAAGGCAGTTAAGAATTACAAGAGGTGGATGCTGAGAGACAGAAACTGAGGCACAGGAGGCAGTCTGTGCACAGACAGAAGAGATGGAATGGCATCAAGCAATATTAAGTAGGCCAGGACAGGAGGAACACAGTCAGATCAGTCTGAAAAGGGTGAAGCCTGGTTGTGAAGGGCTTTAAATGACAAACAGAGGAATTGGTATTTATGAAGCTATTTAATCGGGAAAGCGATGCAATCAGGCCTGGGCGGAAAGCTAAAAGCTACGTGGAAGACAGACTGGAGAAGGGGAAGACATGAGGTGGGGATCACAAGAGTTGGGACAGGAGGCAACAGGGACCTGAATTATGGGGACGGCTGTGTAACTGGAATGAAAGGCATCAATGGGAGAGGCATTTCAAGGGAGAATCAACAAGATCTGGCACATGATTAGAGACAGAGGGCTGAAGGAGAAAGAAGAGGTAAGTAAGAAGGTAAGGAAGTAAGATGGTAAAGAGGTAAGGAGGAATCTAAGGTTGGGAATATTCGAACTGGAAAGAAAGTGGTGCCCTCTACAGACTGAGGGAAGAAAAAATGAAGGATGGAATGAGAGTAATAAGACATCAAAAAAAACCCTCCAAATTATTACTGTTGTTGTTGACAATAACAAGAGTCCCCACTTATACCAGAGCTTGGAGGTTTACAAAGTGCCTCACCTACAACCCATCTGTTAGCTAGGTCATACAAGCAATGTCCATTCTACAGATGAGGAAACTGAGGTTCAGAAAAGTTAAATGCTTTCCCTGTAGCTTCAAAGTGAAGAAATGTCAGAACTGGGGCTGAATCCCAGTCTTCAGCCTCCACAGCTAGTGTTCTTTTCCCTTTTCCCCCTACCATCCAGACATCCTAACTTGTGTTTACTGAGAACCTTCAAGCCAACAAGTGCTTTCATAGACATTATCCTTTGACCTCTTCAAGCTGCTTCACTCCAATGGACTAAAAAGATTTTAGAACTGTATTATCTTATTTTTTTTTAAATCACAGAATCAGAGAATTTTAAAAGATAGAAAGGGATTTTACAGGTCACCTAGTTCACCTTGTACCAAAATCATGAATCTAGCTAACAACATTCCTAAAAAGTGGTTACCCAGCCTCACTCAACTTGTACATCTCCCATACACAGATTTAGAACTAGAAAGGACCTTGAAAACCATTCAGTCCAACCCCAACATTTTACAGATAAGGAAACTGAGGCTCAGAGTAAAACTTAATTGGCAGGATATAACCTGCCAGTGTTCCTCAAAGTCTGAATACATTCTGAAATATTACTTCTTATTCATAGCAATAAACGTGAATGAGTATTTATATAATGTTCCTCTCTCCAAGTAGTTAGCACTTTCTCAGGTGCAAACAGAAAATACTTTGAACTTTACAGAAAACGACACTAGAGGAATACAAAGAGCTATATATATGAGGATGAGCTCCCTCTTCCCAAAAGACAAAGCTGGGCTCATCCAAGAGGACCCTCAGAAGTGAAGCAGCATCGTGGCCAAAGGAGACTGTTGCTACACATCAGAAACAAAAGTTGCAGCAGAACCAGATGACTAACTAAGAATTCTTCCTCCATTCTTCTCAATCACATGCCCAAGTCCATTGCCAAAGGGGCAAACAAGCAGTATTTCAGACCTGTGTTTTCCCTTTTCTCCCAACATCCTCCCATTGATAGAAGTGCATGCAGTAGGAGCCAAGAAATGGCCATGGAGTGAGCATGGCACAAATGGAAGAAGAGGTACAGAGCCTGAAGAATGCATTTATGGTGCCTGAAACTATCAGGCCTGTACTGAGCTTGAGTGCTTTTCCTTTAAGTGTGTGCTTTCAAAGGTTTGCTGAATTCTTAAGTATGATTTTTTTTTTTTTAAATAAAGCCTTAGAACCAAAATCTTGTCCGTGACAACACAGACCTGAAATGATGTGTGTCAAGGGAAAGAGAGAGAACAGGACCTGCCAAAAAGTGATTTCTAGCAAACTTTTCAGATGTACACTTGGGGTGCAGCATGCGGCACATCCTCCTCTTCCTGCTCAGTACTTACTTGTGATATGTTGGCACAACGTCGTGAAACAAATGAAAGATATTCCTCACTGAGTAGAAAAGCTGAATGGCACTGGAGAGAGAAAAGATTAATTTAAATGAAAGGCAGTTTTTCCAAATGCAATCATTTCAGGGAAAATGGAATCTGTTCATTGCTAATGATGTGTCGGAAATAAAAAAAAAATGCAATAAAGTATATCTGAAGCAACAGTCATCAGCCCAAGGGAGACTCCGATTGCAAAGAACAGTTGACTCCATACTGCTGGGAAGCACAGCTAACCTAGCTGGATATAAATTGCCAGCCATAACTTGCTAACTAACCTCGACTGGCTAACAATTTCAATGGATGCATTAAAGATCCAAAGCCTCTTTTCTCTCCATCATTCTGTGCCCTCCAGCACCCAAAGTATCTCTTCAGTAACAAATGGAGCTAAGCCTCAAGCAAACGTCACCTTCCCACTGACGCTAACCGGAAAGGGCAAGGCATCAATAGAGGCATTCATTTGGCTCTTTCAGTAACAGTCTGACTTTCAGCATCCATCTTTCCCCCTCTTTCCACAATGCAAAAGGATGAACTAACATTTCCAATATGGCATCTGAATCATCCTCTCTCTTCCAATTTCAAGCTACTATTAAAATTCATATAAAGGGCAATGTTCAGCTTTGTGTATGTTACCAGATCAGAACACAAACTTCCACACCTCCCTCCCTTCCAACAAGCCAGACACTGTGGATTCTAGAGACATCTAAGGATATCACAGCCATGATTAAGCTAAAGAAATGTTAATAAATATGCTTTGATATGTAGACAGAACAGCTGTCCCTTCCCTACCTACCAAACTGGAGCAGAACAGAATTCATTGACAATTGCCTACACCTTGCTATGAGTGTGCATTCTCGAGAAGTACAAGATTAAAGAATGCCAATGTACAAAGGAATCTGATATAGAAGCCCAGGAGTAGCAACAAACTGATAAAGCCAAACCCTAATCAAAACTGAGCCTTAATCAAAATAGATTTTTACTATTTGCATACAAAACAACAATAACTAGAACACATGGATTAAAGCTTTTGCAAACTTGGCCTATAATTCAATCTGGTCTAAGGGGCACCATTTCTTTTCCTTAGCTAGAAGTGTTAAAAAAAAAGAACTAAGAAATTCTGTGGTAAATGTGGAACACATTTTGGGATGCTTTCAAGAGAGAATAATGGGTCCTAGACAACAAAGTTTATGTCTCTCCTGCTCTTTAACCGGATCACTCAATATTTACTGCTTTTAAAAGTGAACCAACTAATAGCTCAGAAACAACCATAGTTGCGTTTATGTGCCAAAACAACCTTGTGTCTCCAGAGTTAGGATATAAATGGAAATGGACTCATTATCCCAATTCAATTTAATAAACATTTCTTAAGCACCTATAATGTGCCAGGTATTGCACTGAGAAATTTTACAAATATATTTTATGTGATCCTCACAAAAACCCTGCAAGTTATGTGCTATTAATACCCCCATTTTACAGTTGAGGATACTGAGGCAAAGAGGTTAAGTGACTTGCCCAGAGACACAAAGCTATTAAGTATCTCAGGTCACATTTGAACTCAGGTCTTCCTGATTCTAGGCCCAGCACCATATCCAACTGTGCCATCAACTGCTTGGTAAGTAGCTACATAGGGGTGGACACCCTAGCCAGGGTGGGTCACTTCCTAGCCATGACTAGGTTGAGGTCACCACCATCTTTCTTCTCTTCTAGATGCTCTGGGATGTAGGGGGCAAGAGAAAAAATACAGATGGGAGACTGGGAATATTGACAGGCCTGGGTAGGGGCAAGTAAAAATTTCCCTTAGGGCAGAAATCCTAAGCAATGGCAAAGAGAAGAAAGTTCATGTGGTCACTGGCTGGGGGGCCAGGAAACTAACCTTAAGTAAGGGAGAGACTTCTGTCTGGCCCCAAGAACAAAACTCTGACTGACGTTCTCTTTAATACACTTCTGATTTAGATATCAGTTTTGAACAAGTCAAAAACTTCTGCAAAAAATTCAGAATTCTTACCACTGATCACTGCTAGTTGTTGCTTCCAGTAAAGTCTGATAGGCCAGCTCCATCAGTTTCTCAACAGATTCACTGATCCGGCATGTTGGCAAAGAGAAAGAATGCTCACCCAGTTTATTTTCAGTGTCTAAGTTCATCATCTCATTGTGCAGACTTTTGGACGCTTTTTGCATTTTGAGCTTGTTACCTTCATCAGGAGCTGGCAACTCTGGCAGAGCTATCTTAGACTCTGGACTGATCTAAGATTGAAACATAAAATATTTAGTGTCTACAAAGTAATTCAGAAACAAGCATATAATGTGGCAGGGTTCCATACAGGTTATCTCTATCAAAAAAGTCATGGTTCCTACAGGGCAATTTTTAGATCAAGTAAATACAGGTGGGCCTTAATGAGTATCAATCATAGGGCAGAAGGTGTCATTAAAAAACAAGCAAACCCACTTACAGTATAGAATACAGACATTCTCGTCTGTAATGATTTAGGAATGTAAAGCTATGAAACTGACCTAGCTTTTACATGAAGGATAGTTTATCCATACATGAGAAATAATCTTCAGGAATCATCCTGCTCAATCATTAAAGCTACAGTTGGCCTAATGTTTTATTCATTATTATCTTATAATATCACATTAATTGTCCAAAATATTTACATAGACTATTCCTCAACAGTATGCTCATTTCATCTGAGCAATTACTTATTTGCACTATTCCATCCTCAAATAATAGGGAGTCTGAGAAGCTCAAGTACAATCAGAGCTAGAGTAAATGAAACACGATTCAGTTGTAAAAATTCCTGTTTGAAGAGAGAAACTAGATTAGAAGACATGAAGCTGAAACACGTGAGTCTCGGGAAGATAGAGGTGGATTCATGAAGGGATTTGAGAATGGAAACTCCAGGAGGTGATGAGCATGGGGCTGAGCCCTGAACACATTTTTCAGGGAAACTGGAGATAGAAAAGGGAAAGCGTTTTAGAGCAAGGTCATGAAAGAGGGAAACACCAAAGAAGTCTGTAGAAAAGGGATGAAAAGTTAGTGCAATGGAAGCCACTTTGGGGATCTAAAATTATGGGCTTTGTCCCCAGACAAAAGACAACCTCGTTCAATGTAAGCCAGGCTCAGAAGAGCTCAGAGGACCTTTCCTGGACAGTACTTCTGACCTTGGACAGAAGGGTAGACCTGAGGTTCAGAAAAGAAAGGACTTTATCTTTTGTGACCAAGTAAGACAACTTTAAAAACCTGACCTACATGAATCCATGAGTCAAGCTGAAGTGAATAACACAATTTCATACCTGCAACCTATCCCGTTCTTCCTATGATTCATACCCATACTCAGTAAACTATTTAAATTATTTTACTCCAGTTTGAACTGGAGTAAAATAATTTAAATAGTTTACTGAATATTTTATGCTAGAATGGACACAGTGGGAGAGTGGTAACAAAAAAGTGGGTAAGAAAAACTGAAGCACCAGAGACATGTAGAAGACCTCAATCACGTGTATAGTGGAAACAAAAACTAACCAAATGGAAATGAATCTAAAAGAAACTCCTCTTTATCCTAAGCTGGGTTTTATCAAAATTGGCTTTAAGAAGCCCGGCACATAACAGGCACTCAACAGATATGTGATTAAGAAATTAAAACTTAAGGAAAAAAATGTGCAGGATGTAAAGGAGCGAAGTGATCTTGAATATAAGTTACATTCTTTAGGACTCTTTCAGGGTCATTTTTAGTACCTTACATACAAAAACCACAAAAATTTCGTTTTGAACAGTCATAAACCTGAGTGCTGATGGAGCTTGTTTATTGCAAAATGCTGCATTCATGGGACTTCATAACTATGTAAGGCCTATGCATATCTGTCACATGTGTATACTGAAATAAATTTCTAAACATCATACCAGCCTGAGCAAAAACTTAAAAATTGTAAACTGAATTCTTTCACCAATTAACTGCTTCCCAAATATACCATAAAAATTCTAACACTGGGACCTTTACAGTGTTGTGAATTTCTGAAGTCATTAGGTTTCTGGCTGCCACAATCACATCTTGGCACTTCTTGTTAGCAAAATGAGAATTGATATTCCGGGCATATTTCAGCAAGTCAGTAGTATCTCCTTTTAAAAATCTCATGCCCTTAAGAGCATTTTCAAATTCTTCAGTGGACTGTATCACCTAAAAAGAAGAAAGACAAACAGAGACAGGCTGAGAAATGAAAAAGTAAAACAAAGAAAAATTTCATTCAGAACAAAAACAGCAAAAAGGAATGACCAGCACATGGAGAGGATGTGTGAATTCATAGGCCTGGTCATTTTAGAGCCTTTTTTCCCCATAATTAAACTATTTGTGAACATCATCGACTGAAATGTCTAAGTAATTTCAAGGTTGCAAAGATCTTTTAAAATGCATGGGTGCATTTTGGCATTCCAGGGAACAATGAAAAGAAATCCATAGGCATTTCACAACTGGCAGACATTACAAATGATCAGTATTTAAAAGGCTTTGATTAATAACTCTATAAGTAGGAAAATACATGTCCAAAAGGAATAGGAAAAACCATAGGGGGAAAATATCATAAAGAATTTCACTCTGCTCATAATTAATAATTTAATTCATTTGAACATCCTCTTAATTTACAACAAATTATAAAGAAAAAAGAAAATATAGCTAGAGCAAATAACAGTCTACTGTAACCTCTTGGCATCTCTGTTCTTACCTCTTCATACTGTTCTAACTTGCTGCTGTTTGTTGGAATGGAATAAACCAAACAATCTTTAATGAGACACTCAGACATATCTTCCCAGATCATGTCACCCACAATCTCTGCCAATACAATCTTAGATACTTTTTCATCTTCCAAATCATCACCAAGAGGCAAGTCTAAATTCAAAAGAAAAAGGTATATCTTTACAAGCAAACTTCCAGGTAAGAAATTGTATCATATTCCTGGGTTGTTGGGGTTTTTTCCCTCTCCATCCCCTCTCTGTCAGTCTTCTAGAATTTTCTGAGTTAAGATGGTGGGAGGGTGAATGTAGAAGGAAACAGTTCAGACAATTCTACCACCATCTAAACCAAATGTGATGGACAATGAATTCTCCACAATTACTATTATTATATTTTTGCTGCTCAGAGAAATCTGTTCTTCAAACAGCATAACTAAAAACAAGGCATTAGGCAACTACATTTTAATCATCTACCAATGAACTGTAATTTGGTTCCACAAGTGTATATAAGTGCTGCTATTTAAGCTGACACCCAGGTACTTGATGACATTTGCTCTCCAGTTGCTAAGATGATAAATTTTACTTACCAAAATGTCCCTCAATTTCCACATCCATTTCAGCAACTCTGCCAAAGCTGTTGCTCATCTACCCCTCTAAATAGTTTCTTGGAGTTATCTACAAGTACTGCATTTTTGTTAATTTGTCAAAAGCACAATATCAAGTTTATTGAACAGAATCCGTTCACCCATTCTATTTTAACTCTGTCCCAATAACTCTTTTAATGGCTATTTTCCACTATTCTTGCATTCTTACATGCATTACAGTGTTAATCTTTTAATCTACATTTGGGAGCTAAATGGCTAATGTATAACATACAATCTTTAGAGCATTACTGGGCTTGGCAGTAACGAATGCATCTTCAAATTTCATGAGTTCCAGGGTACTTTGTAATATCTAAAAGAATCATCAATAAAATTTTTCAACTCTACACCAAATGTACCTATTTCTTTTCTGTCTTTTTTTTCATACTCTGCTCATTTCCATTTTTTATTCATCCTGCCAAGAGTCTCTTACTTGTCCCTACTCAGAACTTAAAAAAAACAACAAAAAACCTGATCCTAGATCTATTGTTTTACTAGATGCCATACATCACCTATAAAGGTAAATCAAGTTCTCATAGTGTAGATTGTGATAATAAATCAACAAGGATTTTAAAAGCAATCTTCTATGTGGCAGGCATTGTGCCAGAGATAGAAATATAAAAATGAGATAATTTCTGCCTTTAAGAGGTTTATATTCTATCAGGGAGAAAATAAATACATATGAAGAAGTACCTATAGAACATATTCAAAATAAATTGAAAACTGTTTGGTGAGAGAGGGCACTAGCAATTGGGCAGATCAGGAAGGACACTGTATAAAAGGTATGGTGTATAACCATAGTCTTGAAGGAAACAAGGGATTCTATGAAAAGGAAATGAAAAGGCAGCAGATTAAGGGCACTGGGGGCACTCACAGCAAAGGTACAGAAATATAACATGGGATGTCATGTACAAGACATGAAATGGAAAGCCAGTTTGACTGAACATCAGCACCTGGGAAGGGGACTAACAGTCTACTGCAACTTCTTTGGCATCTATATTGTTCTGTTTGTCGGAATTAAATAAGCCAAACAGTCTTTAATGAGATACTCACACATATGTTCCCAGATCATGTCACTCGTGAAGGGGAATAGTAAACGGAAGAAGTTGAAAAAGTAGATTGAGGCCAGGATGTGACAGGCTTTAAAGCCCAGAGAAGTTTACATTTTATCCTAATGGCAACAGAGAGCCACTGACGTTTACTGAGTAGGGGAGTGATAAATGACTTTGGCAACTGCATGGAGGAAGCCTCGAACAGGAAGAGATTTGAGGCAAGGACACCAAATAGGAAACTGCTGCAATAGTCCAGGTGAGAGCTGACAAGATTTAATCACTCAATTTTAAATTGCTACAACAAACAGGCAAAAAAAAATCCTTATTAGCCATCAATTAGACAATATATTTGGTTAAAATGATGTGGACAGATACCACATGACCTGTTTGCCAGTCTGAGTCTTACTTTTTGATCACAAGTACCTTTTCTATTGGGTTACACACTATAATATCCCAAGTTTATATGCTACCGCTTACACACTACACTATCCCGAGCTACGATTTTACAACAGCAAAACAAAAGTTTGTTTTTAATGATTAATTTACAAACTTTACAACCTGATACACTGTAGAAGTGATCTTTTGGGAGTTTGAAAATCCCCAATGAAAATTATAAGTATGCATTTTATCATTTATTCACATAATTTTCTCCAATACTAAGTAAAAGAGAGGGAAGAGGAGAATGTCATTATGCGAGCAACTAGGACCCAATTTTGTAATATCTTTGGCAATCCTCACTATTCTTTGAGATTTTCATCCTCATTTACTAAAGAATACTGGATCTACACTAATAGGAGGAAAAATAACCTAAATCTCCTAATATTTCTCCCCTTCTACAGCAATTCTTCATTTTAGAGCAAAACATTGTTTTATATGGAGTTGTGCATGACAGAAAGAAAGAAGGATGGAGCAATGTGGTACAGTGGAAAATGTGCTAAATTTGAAATCTGAGGACCTAGGTTCAAATCCCAGCTCTCCCACTTGCTACTTGTGATCTTGGGCAGGTTTATAATAAACATCAGTTTCTTCTGTAAAATGAGAGGATTATGATCTTATGAATCATTCCATAATCTGCATATGAGATCAGGGAGTCAGAGTCAGAAATAACCTTGGAAGTTAAATCTAACCTCCTATCCAATATCCAATGTTTTCTACAACATCCCTAGCACATGGCTCAGTACCCTTTGAATGCCTCGAGAGATGAGGAGCAATTAGAAAGTTAAGAGAATCCTCAATGAACATTTGTTTAGCACTTCCTATACACAATGCAAAGAGGTATAAGATTTGAACATAAAAGGAGCTGAAACCATACATCAGAGTTGGAAGGAGCCTCGGAACTCTAAGCCCTACAAAAAGCATGGAATGTCTTCTACAACATTCATAACAAGCCACCATCCAGTTTGAAGGCATCCAATCACAGCGGGCTCACTACCTCATGAGGTGGCCAATCCACTTTTTAACAAGATGCTTTTCATTATATTGTACAGAAATCTGTCTCCTGCTAACTTCCATTCACCAGCTAAACTATCTTCCAGAACCAAACAAATCTATTCCTTCTTCCACATGACAACCTTCCATAATATCTACGCTTGCCCCACCCATCCCACTCCACTTTTCAGCTTTCTTGTATGCTGGCTTCCCCCACTAGATTATAATCTGAGGGAAGGGACCATCTTTCTCTTTTGTATTTGTATCCCCCACGCTCAGCACAGTGCCTGGCTCAGTAGGTATTTATGTTTATTGACTACTGACTATGTTTAAGTTGCTCTTTCTTTTCAAATGTATATGTTACAAGAGTGGAATCATCAGAAGATTTGCAGGAGATACTGTAATAGAGAAGGGCAAAGGTCCCACATTCCTAGCCTTAGTAAGATTCACGTGGCAAAGATAAACAAGGAGGTGATGAAAAGAATATACTGAATACCTTTACCATTCTTCTAACCATAGTAGCCTCCTTTCTTTTAATCCTGCCCAGGCTACAACAAAGTCTTTTTTGCTTAAAGTAGCCTACTCTGAAGTAGCAGCTGCTCTTTAGAAGTAGAATAAAAGGTATGTGTGCCAAGAGGGGGTGAGCATACATAGGATATTAATTTTTTTGATTTTCTTCTCAAAACTGGGAGGGTGCAGAGGAGGATGTACAAAGAAAACAATTCCCTTTTTATTGCACCTAACAATACTTGGTCATTAACACTCTGATGTCACATGCGGTTTATATAACTTCATAATAGCGAGAAACTAAAAACTGGAACTACAAATACATTCCTCGCCTTAATCTTGTTGCAGCTACTTATTTTAGTTTTTATTATTCCTTTCATGCCAAAACTGAGTGGTTTTATAAGCTTTCCTTTAACTTTTGTGTGATTAGTCCTTCTTAATCACAGTAAACCTAGATATTTCTGTTTCACCTCCTGCATTACATCTCCAATAATTTTATCTTTTCTGAGCCTGTACCTATCGATCACACTGACATGTCCTTTCACCAGATGTATTGAGCTGCATTTGTTCAGTATTTCTTATGATGATCCTCTGGGCTAAATTTTGGATCTCACCTAGTAACTAGCAGCGTCCTACATAAGTAGCAATAATAACAAGAACAACTGCAGTTTCTATTAATCTCTGAAATGATTTTGTAGTAAGCACTTAATAAATGTTTGCTGAGTGAATTAATCCATTCAGAGATCCACTTATACATCATTCTTAATGGTTCCAGTAATTTTCAACAGCTTATGGAACTGTGTTTTAAATACCGAAAATTTAGAAAGAGCTTCAAAATAACAATGTGGAGCAAATATGGTATTCATCCTCATGTTTCACCACAAGACCATATGAACTTTTATTTGGTTTTATATTTACTTCAGTTATTTAGAATCAGTACCAATAATGAGTGAGGATTAAATGATATTCATTAAAATACTAGACCAAAGAGACCAAAGAAAGAGGAAAAAGACTTATATATACAAAAATTTTTATAGCAGCTATTTTTGTGGTGGCAAAGAACTGGAAATAGAGAAGGTGCCCATCAAATGGAGAATGGCTGAATAAGTTATGGTACATGAATGTGATAGAATATTAATGTGCTTTAATTATGTGAGGGAGAGTTTCAGAAAAATCTGGAAACACTTCATATGAACTGATGCAGAGTGAGATGGGTAGAACCAAGAAAACAATTTATACAGTAACAATAATACTGGAAAGACAATTAAGAGATGTGAGGGGGAGAAGGTGGATCTTTGTTTGAAAACAAAATAAAATTTAATTTAAAAAAAAGAATAATAATGGTGCCTCATTCTCTGAAATAGATGTATTGCTGAAGAGCTGTTTATAAATACAGCAGTCATGTGATCGTAGTGGAAAGAACTCTTATGTACTCCTCTGGAAAGACACTGTAGTGTAATGGAGAGGGGGTTCAAGTCAAGAAGACTTAGTTCTGAATATTGCCTCTGACACCTACTAGCTGCATGACTAGTCATGTCACTCCAGCTTCTCTGAAGCTCCATTTCCTCATCTGAAAAAATGGAGATAACAGTATTTCTAGCACCTAGCTCACAAGGTTGTAGTGAAAGATGTATGTAAAATGCTATCAAACTTTAAAGAATTCTGTAAATATCTGTTGTTATTATTGTTATTAGGATTGGGCTCAAATTCTAGCTTTACCATTTACTGAGTACACTTACTAGCTGTGTAACCACTGAAAAAATCATTTAACCTTCCTGAGTCTCAGTTTTCTTATCGGTAAAATGGTGATGATAATATGGATGAGGAAGAGTTCTTGACCAAACAAAATGATCACAACATAAAATAGATAATTGGGATTACATAAAATTGAAAAGTTTTTGTACAAATAAATTAATGTAATTAAAACTAGAAGGGAAACAATTAACTGGGGGAAAAAATCTTCGCTGCAAATTTCTCTGAAAAAGGTCTGAGATCCATGATATATATGCAATAGATACAAATACATTAGAAAAAGTTCCATTCCTCAAAAGAAACTAGATCAAAACATATGACTAGGCATTCTCAGAAGGCAAGCTATCAAAAATCATACGGAAAAAAATGCTGGATTTGGGAGTCATCTGCAGCTGAATCCTTGGGAACTGATTACAATGAAGAGAGAGAAGAATGTCTAGGACGTAGCCCCGGGACACACTCACAGTTAGGAAATGAGATCTGAATGACAGAACAGCAAAGGAGACTGAGGTAAAACAGACAAATTGGAGTAAATCCAAAAAACAGCAATGTCACAAAAAATCCAGCAAGGAGAGAATCACATGGTAAGAGAGTGGTTCACATTTTAAAAGATAAAGGTATGCTCTTCTCTTTTTAAGAGTCAACAATGAAGACAAGGAAACCTCACAGAGAGGCTGACTTGCAATTTCTCAAAGTCTTGGCCTTTTTTTTTCCCTTTAGCACTTTTGCAAAACTATAGGACAGGCTCTATGTAGATACTATCTTCACAAGAATTCCCAGTTTATGACTTCCAAGAAGGCAAATTCTAAGTACATCACCTGTTTTTTAATTCTTTCCAATCCACAGCTAAAAGTGTTTGATTATTCAACAAGACAACATAAAGAAAAGTTAAAAAAAAAAAAAGACAAAAGCAAAGTAAGAAAGATGATCAGATAAGAGCAAGAAAGCAAAACCTCCCAAACAAAGATTACTTTGGCAGCATAGTGACCAGAACACAGGTCAAGCAGCAGGAGATGTTTCAAGTGTGCTACTGAACCACACCACGTGAAATCTGGGTTACAGACATAATCAGTGTTAAACCAATGTTGCTAATATGAAACACAAGCTTACAGACTGACTGGCTTTCTGTGTTCTAGGCACACAGCTCTTGGTGTGATAGTGCTTTCCCTCATTGAAACATTCCATTTATTTACCCCATTTTTCATCACCATTATTATGGACACTTCATTTCCTGTTTTCCCTGTAGTTAAAACAGGATTCCCTGACTATGATAAATTATTAAGAGCCTTAGGGTGTTAAATGCTCCCTAACATCCAAGGATAATAGCAAATATAATAGTATTTTCCACATAACATTACCCCAACCAATGTGGTTTAGAAATAACATCATGAATGTATTGTACTCAAACCTTGCCATGATAACTAACTAAGCTAATCTTCAGGAGTTAATAATCAAAGAACGATGCTAGCTCAATAAAGAGGTAAAAAAATTCAAGGCAATTCTACTTTGATGAACTGCAGGGCCAAACCCTATGAACCAGAGTGAAGAGTTACCATAGAGAATCTTATTCTCTATTTAGTCTCATCTTTTCCCCCCTATTTCATTTATTTTCACACATTTACTATCAGACATATCCACTTCCCCTCCCCTAAAACTGCACAATAAATAAAAATATAACAAATACATATAATGCTGCAAACAAACTCTCACATTTGCACTGACCATTTATAACATTTTTCTTACAAAACACTGACTTACTTTGTAATCAGAGTGCCTAAAACAGGGTAGGCATTTAATGTCTATTGATGATAATGCTATTTTACCTAATTTCATGTTTACCTAGAACCAATAAATGTCATTAAGTAGATTATGATCATATCGTACAACTAAGACACTGCTAGAGACCTACAATCTTAGGTACTGATAATTCTGTGATTCAGGAAGAGAAACAAAGTTGTACTACTCCAGGGGCACAATTCCCATCCTCCTCTCCACTACCCTTTCATCCCTCCGCTTCCCCACACACATTCTCAGTCCCTATGTATATTCAGGCTTTTAGTATGTGTCCAACTTTGGAGATTAGAAATCTTTTAAAAATAATAATAAAAATAATACCTAGCATTTATATAATGCAAGGTGCTACATAATACTGGGGAGGTAAGTTCTGTTATTATCCTCATGTTATAGATGAGGAAACTGAAGCAAACAAGTTAAGTGACTTGCCCAGTGTCACAAAGCTAGAAAGTGTCTGAGGCCAGGTTTAAACTCAGGTCTTCCTGACTCCAGGTCTGGCGCTCGATCCACTGACCCAACACCTCACTGTTCCAAAGTAAAGAGACAATATTTCCAGGCTACATACCCAGCAGGTGTTTCTGAAGAACTTCCAGCACCAGCCTGATCTTCGTGAAAACCTCAGGTGGAGATGAATGTTCCAAGTCTGTTGCCACAGATTCAAATCGAAAGACAACTGTATCAGGACGGGTGTCAATCAGTGCATGGAGCGATGGATAAGATACCAGCGGCCTGATGATGTATTTCAGCAGCAACTGGCCTAAAAAAAAAAATCAAAAAAAAGTTTTAAAAGTCACTAAAATATTTAAATTACTAAAAAAATCTATAAAAATCAATATTTCACCAAAGGTAGATCTAAAGTTATATAAAGACATATATGCTATAATCCCCTATTATTACAGGGTGCTACCCAGTGGAGTTTCCTAGGTTATCTACTGATTTTTATTTCATAATAATAATAGCTAGCATGTACAAAGTACTTTAAGGTATGAAATGCACTGTATCTCATTTGTTATTTCATTTGTTTCTCAGCCACCTTTTGAGGAAGGTGCCATTTTACAGATGAAAAAAATGAGGGGGACAAAGTTTAAGTGACTTGCCCAAAGTCACACAGCTACTAAGTGTCTGAGGCCAGATTTGAACTCAGATCTACCTGACTCCAGGTCCAATGTTTCATCGTGACCTGGAGGTGACCAGGATTTCACAAAGGCTATGTTAACAAAGCACTGGCAGGTCCAACATCGACCTGATCTCATGATGAACTGTACATCAGCATCTAAGGGGTACCCTAGTTAGGTTCAGAGAAGCTCACTGCCAGGTAGATACTTGGTGATGCATTGTTTTGGTCCCTACGACTCACTGAACAGTCCACAAAAGCGTGGCAGGCTGGCAGTGTGCATCAGTGGAGGGATTACCCACACTGATGAAATCACAGACACGAAGTATTCAAGTATAACTCTTTGATATCCAACTAAACCGATTTGCAGGAACAAAAGACAAAAGAACTAGGCTGCCTCAATGAAAGAGATGATCTATACAGGGCCATTCTAAATGGACGAACCCAAGGGCCAAATCCCATCATCTATATGGCAGTCCCATCATAGAGAATTTCTTTCAGTTTCTACCATCTTTTTTCTTCTGTTAAGGCTTTCTGAAATTTCGTTCACATGAAACAAGGTAACCCACTTACTGAAGGACTTAAGTTTGGTGTGCAGCTCGCCAACAAGAGCAAATGCCAAGAGTACAGAAGTGATAGGTGGGGAAGGGGTCTCATCTTCTTTCTGGGATGGTTCCGTGCACAAATGAAGTTCCGTCTGGAGGGCAGATTCCAAGCTGCTAACTTCAAAGGAAAAAGCAAAACATCATCAGCTGTCACACAGATGCAACTCCCAAATATTTCCAGTCTGCATTTCGCAGAAGGGAAGAGTAAGACATACCAATGTGGCTCCTTCTTGCCATGTAAATATGAGACTGAGCTGCAGCAGGAACTTGTACCACAACAAGGCAGAAAGGAGAACAATATAATGGAACAAACACTGGAAAGGGGTGAAGGTCCTAGCTTTACCACTGACTAGCTGTATGACCAAGGAAAGATATTTAGCTTCAAGGCTTCAATATCCTTCTCTATAACAACTGATCATGTTGGACTAAATGCTCACTGAGCACCTTTCTAGCAGCAAAATGGCAACAACATCCTAAGTTACACACTCGGAGAACCACTACTGATGCTGACTTTTTGGATCAGTACTGATTTGTCAGGAATAGGGGCCACAAAATAGAGTAAGAAAGACAAGGGTGATCATTCTGTTCTTGTGATATCAGAATGCCTCAAATTTTTGACATCATTTCAAACAGAGTGAGGTTATGACATTAACTGAGAGCTGAAAGATGAAGCCATGCATACAACAGATGCTTTTAAATGTTGTTGAAGGTATGACGAAAATGGAACTCTAAGCCTCAGTTTTTCTTTATCTCCTTCATGCTGTCCCCTACCATGTATTGAGAGCCTATAAAACAATACTGTACGGGTAAAGTGTGTAACTGCCAAAGAACTCAATCCAGCTGTCATCTCATCTTCAGATGAGCTGCGTCTGCTCAGCAGACGAGACCTAAAAACCTACAAGGCACTCTTCCTTCAAAATATCTGATATAAACTAAATGGAAACATTTTGGAATAAGTAATGTTATGAAAAACAATGATATTTCCTCTAAAAAATGATGATTTCATTTAATATAAATAATTTAGATGCAAGAAAATGTTGCAGTAGAATGAAATGTCCTTTCATAATGCCTCATTTATGTTTTTACATAAAGGCTCAAGTACTATTTAAAAAGCTGTGAACTGAAAACACTTCACAACCTGACTCCATTCCCTACTTACTTTTTGACAAATGATAAAGATCTTGCACTGTTACTTACTACCTGATTCTGGGTAAGCCACTGAGAATCTCTGGGACTCAGTTTTCTCATCTATAAAAGGTGTTGGACAAGATCTTTAAGGGTCCTTCCAACTCTAAATCCTATGACATGCTATGAACCTAATATCTACTGAACTACTGTCAGTATCTTTGTCTCTAGTATTCCTTTCCTTAAATCAAAGGATAATAGACCTCTAGCTGAAGAGAACTCAGAGAACATCTAGTCCAACCCTATTATTTTACAGAGCAAAAAACTGCAAGCCAAGGAAGTCTGGTGACTTGTCCAAGGTCACACCTGTTGTATCAACAGAGGTGACCAATCTAGTGCTTGTTCTATCATACCACGTTATCTCCTCCTCCAGTTTCCTAAAATGTCAATTTTACTGCCATTCTCCAGTTCAAAACCTCCTCTGCCTGGCATTCAAGGCTCCCCACAATTTACCACGATTCTCTCTATCCAACTTATTTCTTACTATGCTGTTCATGATCCCTCTACCACAACCAGGACTGTCTCTAAATACCTCAAGAGACAGCACGCTGCAAAGGAAAGTGATGAGGATTTTATTATTATCACAGCAGTTCAATCCCAGCTTGCCCACTAACTACTCACAAGACCTTGGGTATGAAATTAGCCTCTCTAGGCCTCAGTTTCCTCAACTGTAAAATGTGGGGCGTGGGCTAAATGACATCTAAATCCCTTCCAGCTCCAGTCAAATGATCCTATGCTTATCCCTGAGTAAGCATTTGTTTATACTATTGCCCCCAGAAGGTTTATCATTCCATCTCCACTCTGCCCATATGCTCTCCATTCTTCACAGGCCAGTTCAAGGTCAACCTCCTCCAAGATACATTCCATTAACTACTCCAACCTATAATGATAATAGGAATTGATGTCTACATAGTACTTTTAAGGTTTTAAATGCACTTTACATACATGATCTCTCCCTCCTCTGGACTCCTACTGTCCTCACTTTTGTACTTCCCATTCAGGCTCTTAAATTGTCTGTTGGATTATCTCCCAAACTATACAGTAAGCTTCTCACCAGCAGGGATCTTTACCTGTGTCTATTTTGCCTAAACCAATGCCTTGTTCACTAAACATTTGCTGACTAATTTGCTGACTGGGTAGTTAGGCGGCACAGTGGATAGAGTGCCAGGCCTAGAGTCAAGAAGACCTTAGTTCAAATCTGACCTCAGACACTTACTAGCTGTCCTGGGTGAATCACTTAACCCTGTTTGGCTCAGTTTCCTCATCTGTAAAATGAGCTGGAGAAGGACATGGCAAACCACTTCAATATCTTTGCCAAGAAAACCCCAAACGACTAAAATGACTGAACAACAACAAAAATGCCTCTGCATTATCACTTAACCCTTTCTTATGGTTTTTCCTGGTCTGCTCAGTTCCACAGTAAGCTTCTTTTGAGGGTGAGGGAGAGGAGTGGGTAGAGGATGGAGGGTTACAATTTCTTTCACACAATAACAACCTACATTATAGGGTGCTTTATAGTCCAAAGCTCTTCCACCTATCTTATCTCCTTTGATCCTGAAGATAACCACGAGGGAGCAGTCTACGCATACCCTGCAGAGGAGCACCCTGAGGCTCAGGGAGGAGGGATGACTTGCCCGTCGGCACACAGTTAGCAAATGGCAGAGCTGGGACTGTAATCCAGACTGTCCGAATACAATCCAGAACTCTCTGGCCTCCTCCTCAAAATCAGGGCTAAACAAACTACGCACTCAATCAACACCTTGGATGAAGGAGCAAACAACTCTCTGCCTTTAATATAAAAAACACAGAGCACCTTTCCACGGCAAATGGGAAACAAAGCCACCCAGGAAGGGGAGCATCACCTTTGGATGTAGCAAGTCTCCATGAAGCCAGCTTCTGCCACTCTTCCCCAAGGTGGTAGAGCATGTTCTGCTTCTGGATCGTGAGCTCCACACTGAGGGATTTGAAAATCTGTAATTCAAAGCCTTTCCTGGATTTCAGCAACTTCAAGCAATTCTGTGCCTGGTAGTGAAATGGACACTGTGGTTAAACAGAGAGTTTGGCTGCAGAAGTTAAAACAGTCTTTCTATGCTGACAAAACAAAGCAAAATTAAAAGAACAACATTAATACCCATTTTAGGGAGAAACCCTTTAGTACCTTTTTCAGGTGCTGAGCAGCGGCAACATACTTCTTCTCTGATAAGGCACAATTATATTCTTCAATGGCAGTGGAAAACTGAGAGAAGAAAAGACTTATATGAGTGACTTATATAGGCCCGTGGCTTTGCAGGAAAAGATTCAAAACACTAAAAAGCCTCCCTCAACAATGAGGCTCATTAACTGAATGAATACCCCTGCTCCCCTCCAAATTCACAGTACAACTGCACTGACCTCTTGAAGCTGTTTAAGCATGCTCAGGACGACTGTGTCTCTTTCCAGCTGCTGCCTCAGTTGTGTAAATTCCGCAATGGATACGTGAAGGTCCTGCTGTACCTAATTAGCATATCAAAAATACATGTCCTTTGTAACATGTATACATGTTATAAATACATGTCCAGTGTAACATAATGCACAAGAAATATTTTGAAGCAGCTTAACTAATCTGTAATGCAAACATTATTAACTGATAAGGTAGGTATAGGGAAATGCGTTTCAATAACATTACCTGAATTGTGCCAGGATTACAGAAAAGTCTACATTTTATTAAAAATTTATTTTAACCAGTAAATCTAATGCTGATGCTTTATGATGGCACAGTGGTGAATCTGAGCTCTTGGAGGTATGTCAGCTGAACAGAAGCAATTACTCACCCTACCAAATTGGAAAGCCTTCAAGAAGCCCAGTGGATTCCATGTCCATAAGTTAGAGGACTTTCCCAGCTATCTCTGGAGCAGTTAATCATCAGAAACCCGGCCAACAGACAGATACTATTTTTGGCCACAGCAATTCATGAAATTGTCTATTAAAGCACGGAAGACTGGTAGATTGCATTGAAAATATTCACATCCATGAATTCACATTGGAATTGGAATTGGAAGCACTGATGAAAGTTTGCTGAATAAGGTATTGTGAAGTCAATTTTCTGATCAGCAAAAAATAAATTTGTTTCCAATATTGTTGAAAATCTTTGTAAAATGTATTAGTCCCATTTCGTGCTTTGCAAAAGATAGAATAATATAACGAATCTCTTAAAGGATTAAATGTTCTTTAGTATCTCAAGGTCATGATTTTCATCATCAATGATCTTTATATAATACAGAATTATAGAATATTAGAGCTTGGAAAGGACCTCAGAGGCCCTCTAATCCAAGGTCCACTTGAAGCATGAATCCCTTCTACAACAGCCCTGACAACTGACTATCGAGCTTCCTCTTAATCACCTTTAGGGATGAGGGGGGCAGCCCATTCCGTTTTGGACAACTCTGTCAGGAAGTCCTACCTCATACTGAGCCAAAATTCATTTTTTAGTAATCCCCACCATCGGTCCTAGTTCTTCTCTCTGCTTTCAAATAAAAAAAAATCCTCTTTTATAATGAGAACTTTTCAAAAACATGAAGATGGCTATCATGCCTCTCCACCCCAACCCCCAATAACTCTCTTCTTCCCCAGGTACTTCAATGAGCCCCCTTAAACATCATTTTGAGTCCTATTCCAAGCTGACTGCCCTTGTCCAGCCACTCTCCAACTTATCAATGTACTTTCAAAATGTGCTGTCTCGACAGAGAGGTGATGGACTCAAGATGCAAAAAAGCCATACATTTTTAGACAGAATGTGGGACTGTTTTGTTTGACTGTGAATATTTGTTTCAAGGGCTTTGGTTTTGGTTTTGCCAAAAGAAGTGGGGGTAGGAGGGAAAGGGGAGATAAGGATAGGGTAATAAAGAGGGAAAAAATGATTAAGGCATGTTTTTTAAAAAAAAACATAGAGAAAAGAACAAAAGGAAAGGCGGAAAAAGGCCTAGACAAGCAGGACAGTTTTGAAAGCTATAAGATGAATTTATTATATACTTAAAAGGAAAGCAAGCTATACTTAATAGATATATGCAGCTTCCTGCACATTCTTCGTTTTCTGTTCTACCATGCAAATGGAAATGCCCATTTTATTTGATGTTTGCTAAGTTCACAATAAAAATAAAATTTATCTAAAAAATTTTTTTTTTACCCAGAACAATATTGGTCGAAGCAGCATCACACTACACAGAGGGACAATATATTGCCTTCCTCACTCCGGATACTATGTTTCTATTAAAGTAGACTAATATGACATTAATTTCTATCTAGCCTCATCTCTCCAATCTGGTACTTGTACTACTGTTTTTAGGGCAGCTAAAGTGTAGAGTGGCACAGTGGATAGAATGGTGGCCCTGGAGGCAGGAAGACCGGAGTTCTGACTCCAGCCTCAGGCATTTACTAGCTGTGTAACCCTGGGCAAGTCACTTAACCTCTGTCTGCCTCATTTTCCTCAAATGAGGATAATAACAATACCTCCTCCCAAAGTTGTTGTGAGGATCAAATGAGATAATGATTGTGAAGCACTTATCACAGTATCTGACACACAGTAAGCACTATGAAATGTGAGCTATTATTTTGACTATTATTATATTTGTTAAATGTTTTGAAAACCCCAAAGCACCACATAAAGGTTATTGTTATTAATCCAAACTAAAGGACTTTATATTTAAGCCTATTAAATTTCACCAAATATAAAAGGACTGGAAAAGGATGTGAGTTAAAGAAGAGAGAAAAACTCCAGTAGAAGACTTGTTGCTGTTCATTTGTTTTCAATCGTGTCCGACTCTTAGTGACCCTGTTTGGGGTTTTCTCAGCAGAGAAAATGGAGTGATCTCCCATTTCCCTCTCCAGCTCATTTTACAGAAGAGGAAACTGAGTCAAAGTTAAGTGACTTGCTCAAGGTCACACAGCTAGTGAATGTCTGAGGCTAGATTTGAACTCAGAAAGATGAGCCTTCCTGATTGTAGGCCCAGGACTCTATCCACTTCATCATCGAGCTGCCCAGAAGACCTGATAGGAAGCCAAAGAAAAGGATTCGTGATAAAAGAAAAAGAAAAGAGGATTTGAGGAGGAGGAATAGAAGGAAACTCAGAGGAAGCTAAAAAAAGACAAGGGAAAGGAAGTTAGGTTTAGCTGTCCAGGTGTCAACGAGGTTAGAATGGAAAAACAACTTAAGACCTTCACAAGGAATTTGCCACAGATCTTTCAGCAGAGCTACTAGCTAGAACAACAAAGGGCTGAAGACTTTATTTATGGAGAACAGGGATGGAGAACAGGAAGAATTTTTGAACAACTTAAACAGAGTTTACAGTGTTTGTATGTCTACCTCAATCAAACGACTAATCAAAACTCAGAATACAGCTAGGTCTCCTTCCTAGGAGAACAAGGTAAAGGAGCTCAAGGAACACCTACCATCTACTCTTTGGGTTTTCAAGGAAAATGATTTTTTTTAATGAAATGAGGACATCAATATCAAAATGAAAAAAGGTATCTGAAGAGGCTAGGCAGGATTCTGACCTGTGTCAGGAGGATGGAGGGTGGGAAAATGTCACACAAAAAAAGAGAAAAAGGAGCACTGAACTCTTGCAGCTAAGTAATAGCTATAAGGATGTTCCTGAAGAGGAGGGCCCCGGACTCTCGGAGGAGAAAGCAGATCTTTGTCTTCTGAGGAATGATAATATGGATCCACAGGTGAGGTCAAGTGAGACATAATCCAGAAAGTGTCAGAAAAACAAATGAGTTCTGGTGGTTGAAGTCTTCCAGCTGAGAGGTATGAAGGCAGATGCTTGTCAAGCTGTTAAAAGAAAAGGGCCTCTTGTCTTCCCAGGGCATATATCTAAGATGTGACAAAGAATCCTTCAAGACTTGTCAAACTAGATGACTACCTACTACCCACTTCTGGTAATTCACTAGGGAAAAAAATGATATTATATCATAAAGAATCTAGAAAGCATTGCTAAAAATTATAAAGTCTGGGGCAAGAAACTAAAGAACTTAGGAGCACAGGTGAGGCTTTCTATCACTACTGACAACTGAAGGCAAAAGCTACAAACGAGAAAAGTACTGTCCTGTAGGAATAGTGTCGAAAGTGCAAAAGTACAGAAGGAGGGAAGGCTGTCAGAAAATGTTAAAGGTCAAAAAGATTGTAGGGAAAGGATATTGGGGAAAGGATATTGGGAAAAGGGGAGGATCAAAGGAGGGACAGGACTGAGGGAAGGGGGGGGACGATCAAGGGAGGGACAGGACTGGGGAAAGAGGAGGATCAGGGGAGGGACAGGACTACAGCTTCGAGTGGAGGGATCATCCAATAATCAAGGATAAGAGTGAAGGCAACACCACCCAACTCGTTGCTTCTGTTTTCTCTTCCAAGGAAAATGTTTGGATTGAAAATTATAGTTAAACTTTTATGTTCTAAAAGAGAATGGAAAACCCTACTCTCCCCTGACATCAGCACCATCCCTCTGCACAGGCTCTCTCTACCAGGCCTGGGTTCCTCTCCTTTTCTTTCACTTGTGAATCCAGAGCTTCCCTTCAAGAATCAACTCAGGTACCACTTTCTACACAAGGCCTCCCTCGATCTCCTAATCATGAGTGCTCTCTCCCTTCTCAGATCACCTTACACTTAGGTGTTTTTGCACTCTGTCTCTCACTTTAGGATATAAGCTCCTTGAAGGCAGGGACCATTTTTTCCTTCTATCTCTGTATCCCCAGAGCCAGGCTCAGAGCCTTGCACAACAGAGACACTTAATAAATGTTTGCTAACTGTATAATGATAAAGTACCTAGCTACTCTTAATAAGTTCAAGTCTCTGGTCCCAGAAAAACCACCTCTGAGGGTACTTAAAAAAACTGGCAAATGTGATTGCTTAGAGGCTAAGCCTTAGCCACTGCTAATAGTCTTTGAAAGATGATGAAGAACAGAAGCAGTTCAAATAAGGGAAGATTAATGTCCCAATTTTCAAAAAGAGTAGAGAAGAGAAACTGCAAACTATAGGCAAATAAACCTGATTGTGATTCCTGGTTAAAAAAAAAATAGTAAATAATACCATTAAAAGTATCATTAGTGAACCAAAAAAAACAAAAATTAAAAAAAAAAACAAACGAAGTACTTACAATAAGGAGCCAGCACAGCTCCATCAAGAACAGGTCATGCCAGACTAACCTCATTTCCTTTTTAGAAATTGTTACTCAACTGGTTAAGGGATCACAGAAAATACTGTTTACCTAAATTTCTGCTAACCATTTGACAAAGTGTCTCATGTTATTCCTGTTGACCAAAAAGGGAGCTGTCAGGCAGACAATAGTATAGTTAAGGGGATTCAGAACTGACTGACTGTGTCCTGTAGTTCTTCAGTTTCTCGCCCCAGACCTCATAAGGACCTAACTGAACTGACCTTCAAAGCACCCAAACCTGTATCATTAGTCAACCTGGAAGGGGGTCTCTGGATGAAAATCCCAGGGATCTATGCTTGGCCTTGTCCAGTGCCAATTTAACACTTATCAATTCCTTGAATAAAGACTTAAGTGGATATGTTTATCAAATTTGTACATAACATTAAATTGGTAGGCGTAGCAAACATGTTGGATGGGAGAATCGGAATCCCACAAGCTCTGGAGGGTTAGGACACCAAGCCAAGTCTAATGAAATGGAATGTAAAAGAATGAATATAAAATCTTATCCTTAGGTTCCAAAAAAAAAAATTCCACAAATACAAAATGCCCATGGCTACACAGAAGTTTGTCTGCAAAAGACTTGGAGTTTTCATGGACTGTAAGCTCAGTGTGCATCAACAGTTATGCTATGGCAGCCCAAAAAGCTACTAAGATCTTAGGCTATATTAAAAGAGGAACAGTGTCCAGGACTAGAGAGGTAACGGGCCTACTGTATTCTGCCCTGGTCAGATGACATCTAGAAGACATTGTCTGATTTAAAGGCTAAAGAATATCCAGAAGGCAACCAGGATGGTAAAGGACCTAAAGATCCTACTATGAGCATTAACTGGAAAAAATGGGGTTGGAGAAGATAAACTTTAGTGGAGGATATAATAGCTACCTTAAAGTACTAGACTAGATTAAGCTTCTTTTGCTCACCCTAATAGGGCAGAAGTAGGAATAAAGGATGAAGGTGAGAAAGGAAAACTTGCTGATCCTCAGAACTATCCAAAAGTAAAATGAACTGCCTTGGAAAGTAGTGGGCATCTTCTCGAAAAGGGCCTTCAAGCAAATGTTGTGCACTCACTGGATACACTGCTCTTCAACACTACACGAGTTTGTCTGAGGTCCCTTCCAACTCAGAGAGCTGTGCTTCTATGAATCTGTACTGACCACAGAAAACATATCAACATCTGAGAGATTCTTTATTTAGTTTCTTGCTCTTTGCCTATTTCTTCTTGAAACCAAAGATAATTCATGTAAACATGTTTTGAAAAGTAAAAGCACCACATAAGTACAAAATTTTATTATTTATTCCACTTTCAAACTGGTTTTGAGAATGCATCAGAAGAAGCACTTCTATCCTTAAATTAAGGAAGAAGCATTTAAGCACCTATTCTGTGTGCCAGACACTGTGCTAAGGGCTTTACAATTATTATCTAATTTGATCCTCATGACAACCCTGGGAGGTAGGTGCTATTATTATCCCCATTTCATAGTTCAGGAAACTGAAGTAGACCAAGGAGACTTGTCTCAGGTCATACAGCTCAGAAGTGCCTGAGGTTGATCTGAACTCGTCTTCCTGACTAGAGTAATGGCCTGGGTCCAGTACTTTATCCACGGCTCTAAGAGAAAGAAATAAAACTAGGCTTTTATTTGGCCCAATGGAACGAGTTTTTTTCTGCATACCACTTGAGGATTTTTAGCAGGGTACCCTGAAAGACAGAGAAGAAGCAACAGGTAGCAGGCAGGTCAGATGGGCACCACCACCTTAACAGTTATCTCCCTCCAACCCTAAGCCTTGCCTGGTGCCATCAGCCAACATCCTGGGAATCAGCCCCTTGCAGAAATGCTGCCTGGCCACTGTTCCTACACGGGCTGCAGCCCCAGCTACTGAAGACTCAGAAAAGAAACGTCTTGCCACCAAAGTCCTTGGTCCCATCAAATGGTTCAACATCAGAAACTGAAGTGATTTTATCAGTGAAAACGATAATTAAAGAAGAGGTGTTATAATCTACTTTGCTGCTGTACCCCAAGGACCATGGGACTTTTCTGTCAGACTTGCAGCTAAAACCTTCCATATGTGTTGCCTCCATTAGAATTCGAGCTCCTTGAGAGCGGGGACTGTCTGACTTTTCTTTCTATGTCTCCAACACTTGGCACATAGTAAGCACTTAATAAATGCTTTCTTTTGTTCATTCATTGATTTTTCACTTTTGACAAGGATTTCACAGAACAGTAAAAGAAGTTTAGAGTTGGAAGGGCTCATTTGTTGCAAATCTTTCACGTTACAGATTAAGAAACTGAGGCACAAAGTGGCCACAACTTGGTGAATTATATTGCTACAATAAACCTTAAGTGAGAATAATTTGCCTTTCCCAAATAACCAAGTGTCAGGTTGGTGTACTTACTGTCCTTACCTCACTCTCCACCCTGGATTTCAGCAGATCAATGTCACCACATAGCTCATCCACCTGGGTTACCAGGTCCTGGGCACTCTGCATGCTAGGCAAGAATTCATTGTACTTCTTATTGATCATGCTGCAGACTTCACCCTGTAATTTAAAATGAGAAGATCATTGTGGATCACTGTGGACTTAGGATTCCTATAAGAATTATCCTCTATCAAGGTCTCTCTTAGCCTGGAGTCTTCCAGACAAACAACTATACATTTCTTTTTCAGGCCAAGGTCTTTTAACGCTCCCAAACTTAAAGTCTCCAGGACAAACTAACAGGATAGATGGAATCACTGAACCTCATTACTGCCCAAAAGGGTCCCTGACCCCTAATGTTGCCCAGAAATTATCTAAACACTTGAAGAAGGAGCAAAATAGAGAACTCATTTTAAATGGCCCCATTTTAAATTAAACAAGCTCAGATTAAAACCAATTTTCAGTTATGCATGTGTTCAGGTAAAAAGGAACACATAAATAATTTTCTTATGTTTTCTTATGTTAGACAGTGTTTGCCTCACAACCCCATGAAATAAACAGCACAGGTATTGTTATTCCCATTTTATAGGTTAAGAAACTGAGGCTCAGAAGGGTAAAAGGTATACCTCATTTGAAAGGAAAAGACCAGATAAAAGGAGTGGTAGAGTAGACGTTCCCAAAGAGTTCAATTCACCATTCCCAGTTGTCTATGTCCTAGCATACTGAGAAAACTTATAGATGAAATTACTAAGCTGTTATCAAGGATCTTTAAAATACTGTGGGGGAGGGGCAGCTAGGTGGCACAGTGGATACAGCTCCAGCCTTGGAGTCAGGAGGACCTGAGTTCAAATTTGGCCTTCACGGAACATGACACTAGCTGTGTGACCCTGGGGAAGTCACTTAACCCCAACTGCCTCACCAAAAAGGCAAAAAACAAAAACAGAAGCAAAAAATTACTGTGACAGAAAAAGAGGGGACACCAGACTGGATAAGAGCAAATGTCTCAACTTAAAAATAAAAAAAGAGAATAGAATCTGCACACCACATGCTAGTGAGTGTAACTTCAGTTCCATGAAAAATTCTGGAATGCATCACTAAAGGAATGGTTTCTGATCATGTAGAAAATGACATGATGCATCAAGATGCATTTATCAGGAACATGTTACACCTGACTAACCTCATTTCCTTCTCTGACAAGGCTACTGGACTGAAAAATGAAAGGAATGCAGTAGACCAAGTATACTCAGATTTCAGCACAGCATTTGACAAGATTTCTTTATATATTTCTGTACAAGATGGAAAGATGTGGACTAGGAGATAGGAAATGGTTAGGTGGATTTCGAGCTGTTTGAAAAACTAGACCCAGAGTGCTGATTGATGAGTCAGGGCCAGCTTGAAGATGAAATGTCACAGGGCTCTGTCCCTAGGTCTATTCTGTTCAATACTTTTTATCAACAACTTGGACAAAAGTATAGATGTCATGCTTATCAACTACCCAAATGATGATAGGTTGGAAGGATAACTAGTATGCTGATGATAGATTTGAGATCCAAAAAGATCTCAAAAAGCTAGAACTAGGATAAATCTAATAAAATGACATGCAAAAAGGAAATATGTAAAGTATTATACTAGTTCAAAAATCAACTGCATAAGTGAGAGATAAGGCTAAACAGTTTTTTTTTAAGGTTTTAAAGTTTTCTCTTTGAAACAATGGGTATCTTACAGTACACACAAGAAAAATATTCTGAAATGTATAAAGCTTTATTTATGAAACATAATCAAACATACAAGAAGAAATACATAGTTATGAGGCTTTTTTCTTTTCTTTTTTAAATGTTTAATTTATAGAATAAAACAAGCATTTCGTGCTTGTTTTACATAGTACAATAACATAGTACATAGTACAATAAAAAATGTGATTATACATGAAACTGCAAATCTACTATCACTATTCCTTTCATATATACAACAAAATTATCATGTAAATTTCTTTTTTTTCTTCCCTCCCCTTCCCACGCCTTGAGATGACTACCATTAGACAAAAATAGATATATATGTAAAATTATTCTACATATCCTTCTATTTATCAGTTCCTTCTCTGGATGCAGATAGCGTCTTTCTTCATATGTCCTTTATAGTTAATTTGGATATTTACAATAGACAAAATGACTTATTTGCTGAAAGTCATTCTTAAAACAATATTGCTGTTATTGTATACAATGTTCTCTTGGTTTTGCTCATTTCGCTCTTCATTATTTTGTGCAAGTCTTTCCATGTTTTTATAAAATCCCTGAGCTCATCACTTCTTATAGCACAGTAGTGAGGCTTTTTAAAAAATAATAAATTGTACATGCTTTCATCTAACTTAAAATATTAATCTAAGAAATGCACAGAAAAAAAAGACAATTTATATGGTCTGTTAAATGAACATTACAAAGGCCCTGGGACAATTACTGATCAGTTGTAATGCTCATTCAAAAACGCCACACTTCAACGTGCCTTATCAATGGAAAAAAAACCTTTTAAGGTGGTTGTGTAAGTGATGGTATTGTCATGTCCAGTTAACTTCACACCACAAAGACACATATTTCTGTTATATTAGGGTATTAATGTGCATCAACAGTAGTATGAGTTTTGTTGCTCTATAAAAGCTCTGCAAAAGCATGAAGTTGTTTAGAGGCATATTTTATGTCTATACAAGAAAAAATTTACTAATAACTAAAGCTATCCCAAATTCAATCTTCCCAAAAATGGAAGGGGTGGTCACAGGACACAAAGAGTCCTTATTACTAGAGGTCATCAAAAGGTAGCAAAATTTGCATATCGCTTTACCCAGTGCCTGGCACACAGGAAGAGCTATAGAAATACTTGTCCGTTTCCATCTCTTCAAATGGAACCTGGATGATAGCTCCTGAGTGACATTCTAAAGAGGAATTTCTAGTCTACTGCAGGTTGGATTAAATGACTTCTGAGTTCCACTCTAATTCTAAGAGTTTCCCTGACTCTAATTTCAGTTTTCTTCAATTCTAACAAATATTTATTTAGTAAATATTTAACAAAAACTGCTGGGAAAACTGGAAAATAGTATGGCAGAAACTAGCCCTAGACCAACATCTTACACCATATACCAAGATAAAGTCAAAATGGGTACAGTACATGATTTAGATATAAAGGCTGATACTACAAGCAAACTAGGAGAGCAAGGAAAACCTGTCAGATTTATGGAGAAGGGAGAAATTTATGACCAAACAAAAGATAGAGAATATTATGAAATGCAAAATGGAGAATTTTGATTACATTAAATTGAAAAGTGTCTACACAAACAAAGCCAATGCAACCAAGATTAGAAGGGAAACAGAAAGCTGGGAAACAATTTTTACAGCCAGTGTTTTCAGAATATATAGAGAACTGAGTCAAATTTATAAGAATACAAGTCATTCCCCAATTGATAAATGGTCAAAGGATATGACAAGGCAGTTTTCAGATGAAGAAATTAAAGCTATCTATGATCATATGAAAAAATGCTCTAAATCACTACTGATTAGAGAAATGAAAATTAAAACAACTCTGAGGTACCACATCACACTTACCAGATTGGCCAACATGACAAAACAGGAAAATAATAAATGCTGGAGAAGATATGGGAAAATTGGAACACTAATGCATTGCTGGTGGAGATGTAAACCGATCCAAACCATTCTGGAGAGCAATTTAGAACTATGCCCAAAGGGCTATAAAACTGTGCATACCCTTTGACCCAGCAATACCATTTCTATGTTTGTATCCTAAAGAGATCATACAAATGGGCAAAGGACTCACATGTACAAAAATATTTATAGCAGCTCTTTTTGTGGTGGCCAGGAATTAGAAATTGAGGTGATGCTCATCAATTGGGGATTGGCTGAACAAGTTGTGGTATATGAATGAAATGGAATATTACTGTGCTGTAAGATATGATGAGCAGTCAGACTTCAGAAAAACCTGGAAAGACTTGTATGGACTGATGCTGAGTGAAGTGAGCAGAACCAGAACACTGTACACAGTAACAGCAACATTGTGCAATGACTAACTTTGATAGACTTAGCTCTTCTCAGAAGTGCAAGGATCTAAGACATCTCCAAAAGTCTCATGATGGAAAATGCTATCCACATCCAGACAAAGAACTACGGAATTTGAATGCAGATTGAAGCATATTATTTGCTCTTTTTTTTTCTTCTGTTTTGTTTTGTTTCTTCTTTCTTGTGGTTCCTCCTATTGGTTCTAATTCTTCTTTACAACATGACTAATGTGAAAATATGTTTAATAGGAATGTATATGTAGAGCCTATATCAGATTGCAAACAGATTGGGGCAGGAAGGGGGAGAAAATTTAAAACTCAAAAGTTTATGGAAGTGATTGTTGAAAACTAAAAATTAATTAATTTTAAAAAAGAAATGATTAGATGTGATTGCTGAGCCTGTCAATGATTTTTTTTTAATATCAGGGCAAACAGGAGAGGTACCAAAGGACTGGAGATAATTAAATGTCCCATTTTCTTTTTAAACACAAGAGCGGGTAGAATCTCCAAAATATAAGCTAGTGAGCTTGTCTTCAATTCCTGACAAAACTCTTGAATACATTATTAAAGGTGTGATTAGTGAGCATTTACAATGGGAAACAGTGATCATAAAGACGTAGTATGGTTTCATTAAGTACCTGTCATGCTAAATTAACCTCATTTCCTCTTTTTGATTGGTTACTAAACTGGTAGGTAGATAATAGGTATGGGCCCAGCATGTAACAATACCTCACATTCTAACCTTATAGGCAAAAGGAAGAGATATGTGGTCTAGTTTAGAACTGGTGAAATAACTGGAATAGTTATTAAAGAGTCAATGTCGACTTGGGCAGAAGTTTCTAGTAGAACTTAATAGAGATCTGTTTAGTTTGATGTTGTTACGAATGACTCAGATGATGGCATGGGTGGTTATATGTAAAATTTGCAGATGACACAAAGATGGGAGGGATAACTGAGAGTCAAAATCTAAAAAAAATCTCCAGCATGCTAGAAGCATAGGTCATATCTAATAAAATTAAAGTTAAGACAGAGAGAGACAGTGTGCTAGAGTAGATACACAGCTGGCCCCTGAGTGAAGAAGGCATGGGATCAAATCCCACCTCTGCCACATACTGGCTGTGTGACTCTGGGCCAATCACTTAACTTTTCAGTGCTTCAGGCAACTCTCTGACTAGAAGTTGCTGAAAGGTATTTATAATCACTGGTAGAAGTTTCCTATACCAATGAAATCATAAGTCCCAGAGATAAGATAAAGTTCTACACTTTGATTCAAAAAACCAGCTTTCTGAGTACAAGATGGGAGAGGCACAGCTGGACACAAGAAGAACATCTGGGTATTTAAATGGTCATTAGATTCAGATGAGTCAACACTGCAGCATGACTGCCTCCAAAAGTTAACACAAATTTAAGCTGCATCTTGGGGTGGGGAGAGGTGCACTGACCAGAACGAGTAAGACTGACATTCCTGTCATACACTAACCCAGTGCCTGGCACACAGGAAGAACTATAGAAATACTAACCAAAATTGGAGCAAAGGTTCAGAGAAAGGAAACTAGAACGATGAGGGGACTGGATAGAAAGGCCATGCCATACAAAGACCCACTGAAAGAATAGAGAACGTTTAGCCTAAAAAAAAAAAAGGAGAAAAGGGATGGAGGTTCAGATAGTTGTCTCCAAATATCTGAGGGGCTGTCGTGTGAAAGGGGAATGAGGTTTATTTTGATTGGCTCCAGAGGGCAAGATTAGAAGAAGTGAGTAGAGGCTGCTGAGAAGCATGTTTATCTGACTATAAGGAAAACTTATTTTTAGAAACCTCCAATCAGTCAATAAATATCTGTTTAAAGTGCCTATTAGAGTAGCTGAATGGGATAATGGACAGAGTGCCACACCTGGAGTCAGGAAGACTCATCTGCCTGAGTTCAAATCCAGCCTCAGACACTTACCAGCTGTGTGACCCTGGGCTTAATCCTGTTTGCCTCAGTTTCCTCATCTATAAAATGAGCTGGAGAAGGAAAAGGCAAACCACTCCAGTATCTTTGCCAGGAAAACCCCAAATGGGGTAGTGACAAGTCCAACATATGCCAGGCACTGCGCTAAGCGCTGGGAATGTCCCTGCCCTCAAAGGGACCTAATGGGGAACACACCACGCAAACAGGACCAGCACAGTAAGTGCTTAACAAATGCTCATTAGGTTGACTTGACATTTGCTGTGTTCCCCCTCCCCCTTCACCTACTTCCAGCCTTATATTTATTATATTCCCCCGCCTAATCCCCACTTTCCCCCTCCGTACCCCCTCCCACCTGGTCAGGCCTCACCACCCCCAGCCCCAGCCTGGCCAGTCCTCCGTCCCCCTCCCCCCGCCCACGCCCGGTCCTCACCTTGATCTCCTCCACCCTCCGGGTCAAGCGACCGATCCGGGTACCCAGATCCTCCTTCTCCAGTCGTCCTGAGTGCGCCAACACTTCGGTCACAAACGAAGACATCGTTTCACTCAGGATGCCAGACCCCAATTCCCCGGCAAAGCCACAGCGACCACCACCGCCTCTCGCGCCAGCGCAACAGCCTCGGTCCCGCCGCTTGGCCGCCGCGCACGGCCTGCTGGGAAAGTGAGTCTCCCCCGCCCAAAGTGCGCTGAGCCCAGGGACAGTGCTGCACTACAACTCCCGAGAAGCAACGCGCCACCAGGCTCTTTCAGGGCTTCACGGTGTCCTGTTGCAGTCAAATGGCAGAGGGACGCGTTGCGTTTACTGTTTCTCCTGTCAATTCCTTTTAAATGTCTGAGCGGTTTCTGTCTTTTTTATTAATACAAAAAAAAAAAAAAAAAAAGAATTGTGATTTAGCTAATACCAAACCCAAATGTGATTGTTTCCTAAACCCTAAACAAACCACCTACGTTGGAAGACACATATATCTCCTCAGTTTTCATTAAATATTCATTATTTCACAAAATCGGACAGTTGAAAAGTACCTCAGAAGTTGTCTGGTACAACTCATAAACAATTATCTCTTTGACAGTTGAGAGCATCCTCCTCAGTGGTCATCCAGCCTCTTCTTTAGCAGTTCCAGTGATGGGAAACTCATTACCTGTTGAAGGTCCATTCCAGTCTTTTTACGTTTTATTCCCCTCCATGAGTTCTATTGTTTTCAGTCATGTCCAATCCTTTGGGAGTTTTCATGGCAAAGAGACTGGAGTGAGTGGTTTGCTATTTCTTTCTCCAGCTCATTTTACAGATGAGGAAACTGAGGCAAATGGGGTTGGGTGCCTTGCCCAGGGTCACACTGCTAGTAAGTGTGTGAGGTCACATTTGAACTCAGGAAGAGGAGTCTTCTCGAATTCAGACCCAGCACTCTATCCACTGCCCCCTAGCTGCCTCTGAGCTCTTCACTGGACTTGGGTCTTCTTGCTGTTCATTCCAAGTCCTTGTCCTTTCCTTGGCTGTGACTCGTACCTGTAATACTCTCCGCTGGAACCTTCTGCCTTCCTTTAAGTCTGAGCTAAAATTCTTTTGCAAGGGGCTTTCTCTGTCCCCACTCCCACCTCCAGTGCCTTCCTTCTGGGGTTATGTCCCATTTTCACTTTATTTCTCCTGTATTTCCCTATGTTGTCTCCCTCATATGGGGTCTTGGAGGGCTGGGATTGTTTTTGTCTTTCTTTGTGTGCTGTTGCATGCCCAGCACTTAGCACAGTGCACGTAATAGACACATGGTAAACAAATATTGATTGTCCAGACCCTGCCAACTCTACTGTTGCCAGGAGTTGATTAGAGTGTACAGATGTGAGGTGAATGGGGAATATTTATTCAGCAATCTCCAAAACATCCGACCTTTGGGGGTAGTCTGAGCGGCTGAGTGCTTTATGGCTCACTATCGCCCCCATCGATCCCTCTGAGTCCCTTGTGTCTTATCCATTTTCTGTAGTAGATAAAATAAGGCTGAATCCATGCCCAATTTTAAGATGATACCAACAACTGCAGAATGGGGTTCCTTTGGGCACAATGAAATAAAAGAGTATGGGCACAATGAAATAAAAGAGTAAAGTGAGGAAGAGTCAGCTGGGATAGAGAAGATATGGATGGGTGTGAGGGAATGGGGCATAGTAGATAACAGAAAGCAGTGTCTGCCTCAGCAGCCTATTACTATTAACTCTATGATTCTTATCATTCCTGTCCTACCATTAATTCACTGTAAGAAGTCTGCCCAATATGCTGGAGACCTTCCTCAAGTTTGACATTGAGAGAACACCAATAGAACACACAGGCAGACAGTGCATTGGTTATCCTTCACTCTAATCTACCATCCAGCCCATCTTTCTTAATCATGCACTTCTTTGATGAAATCTGCAACTCTTCGAATACCTCCTTTGCAATGTGTTGCAGGCTGTTCATATCCTCTGTGTACCTCTCCATTAACCCCTGGATGATGCTTATCTTCAACTTTAAAGACTGTAGTGTTTTATGACTCACCATCATATATCATCACAAGTAGAATACCTCCTCATAATCATGGCAAACACTTGGAGAGAATGTTGTTGTTCAGTCATTTCAGTCCTGTCCAACTCTTCCTGCCCCTGTTTGCGATTTTCTTGGCAAATGTATTGGAGTGGTTTGCTATTTCCTTCTCCAGTTCTTTTTACAGACGAGTTTGGAGAATATACATCTCTTCCTTTTATGTCTCTCCTGATATTAATAATCAGGGGGTTGTCAAATGAAGTTATTTTGTTTCTACATCTTTCAAAGAATCTTGTATGATATTGACATATGTGTAGGAGACCATTTGTTGGAAGAGAGCCTTTGAGAGCATTTTGCTTTTACCAAATAAAATTTTTTAAATGTCAACAAACAATAAGCATGTGGGTTATTATATTCTCTATACTCTTTAGTGGATGCATAACTATAATGTTGTAGTAGTCTGCGGGGAAACTTTTTTTGTTTTGTGTTTTTCTGTGAGGCAATTTGGGGCTAAGTGACTTGCCCAGAGTCACACAACTAGTGAGTGCTATATGTCTGAGGCCACATTTGAACTCAAGTCCTCCTCACTCCAGGGCTGGTGCTCAATCCACTGTGCCTCCTAGCTGCCCCCGGGAAACATTGTTTAGAAGAGGCCTTGAGTTCATGTCAATGAGGATCAGATAAAAGGAATGAGGATCGTTAGCCTGGAGGAGAGAAGAAATAGGACAGATGGAAGAGGGAATAGATTTATTTGGTTTGGTCCCAGAGGTCAGCAATAGTAGCAACAGGTAAAATTTGTAAAGAGACAAATTTAGTCTTAGAGGAAGGAAAAACTTTCTAACAGATCAATCCAAAAGTGCAAGAGGCTGCCTTGGGAGATAATTTGTTCCCCCTCATTGGAGGTCTTTAAGCAAAAGCTGAATGACCACTTGTTAGGTGTGGTGTAGGGGAGGGCAGGTAGGTGGTGCTGTGGTTAGAGTGCCAGGTCTGAAGTCAAGAAGACCTGAGTTCAAATCCAGCTTCATATATTGTGATCCTGGGCAAGTCACAACCCCATTTGCCTCAGTTTCCTCATCTGTAAAATGGCTGAAGGACATGGCAAACCACTCCAGTATCTTTGCCAAGAAAATCCCAAATTGGATCACAAAAAGTCAGACATGACTGAAAAAGACTAAAATGGTATAGAGCAGATTCCTGTCCCGGTATAGGCTTAGATTATACAGCCTCAGACCCTTCCCATTCTGAGATTCTGCTCTTCAGCAATGGGTGGTGGACTGATGGACTTTTTGATCTGAACTGATTAAGCTTCCTTAAGAAATCACAATAGTGTGTGTGGATGCATGTTCTTATAAAGCCAGGTCTAGCTCCAGAAACTTTTCTCTCTTTTCTACCTCTAAATTTGACTTTGACCCTGCCATTACTTGGTCCATCATGGAATACATCTTCATATCAAAATCATGGCACAGAGGGAAAAGGGCTGGACTTGGAATGGAAGGACTAAATTTGAATATTGACTCTGTCCCTTACTACCCATGTAACTTTAAACAAATCACTTCATCTCTCTGAGGATCATTTTCGTCATCCGTAAAATGAAAGAGGTGAACTAGGTTACCATTTCCAGCTCTGAAATTATTATTATTATTGTCATATAAGCATATATTTTAATCTAATTTTTAAATCTAATTTAATTTTTTAAATTTGCTATGAATTCAAATGGCTCTGATGCTTATAACGCAGCACCTCTGAATGGCCAGGAGAGGGAGCCAGAATCTCCTACCTGAAAAATGATTAATTTCCAGAACCTGATGATCACTCAAAGAAAACAGGGATTTCCAAAAAAGTTACCAAACTGTCCATACCTTTTCACCCAACAATACCATTATTAGGCCTTTACCGCAAAGAGAGCAAAGAATGAGGGAAGAGAAGACCTATATGTGAAAAATATTTATAGTAGCTCTTTTTTGTAGTGGCAAAGAACTGAAAACTAAGGGAGTACCTATGAAATAGAGAATGATTGAACAAATTATGGTATATAAATGAAATGGAATGCTATTTTTGTAATAGAATACTATTGTGCTGTAAGAAATAACAAAGGGACCAAGTGTTCTAAAACAGGCACAGACAGGTCGGTAATTTTGTTGGCGGGGAGGCTGAAGCTGATAGATTGTATGAGCTCCAGAGTTTCGAGCTGCAGTAGGATGAAAGCTGATCTGGTATCCACAGTAAGTCTGAAACTGATATATGTGTTGAACCACCAGGAAAGAGAAGGAAGCATCCCAGGCTGCATAAGAAGAAACAAATCTGCACGGGTCTAAAATGGAGCATGTCAAAGATTTTGTGGTAATCAACAAAGGAATTGGACCTATATGTGGCTGTTGTACTTCTGTCCTAGACAAGATAGGGGAAGAGCCAGTCTCTATAATGATGATGATGATGACGATGATGATGATGATGATGATGATGATGATAGTTGCTGTTGTTGTTACTACTAATAGTATTAACAAAAGGAGCAATTTCAGGGAAACTTGCAAAGACTTATATAAACTGATATAGAGTGGACTGAGCAAAGCCAGAACAATTTATATTATGACAACAAATGACTTTGAAAAACTGATCAGTACAATGACCAACAATGACCCCAGAGGGATGAAGCATGTTGCCCACCACCTAGAGGAGAGGTGATGGACTCGGGGTGCAGAATGAGACATCTATTTTAGGACATGACTCATGGGAATTTGTCTTGACTATTCATATTTGTTACAAGGGTTTTGTTTTTCTTGGAGAAGGGGATAGAGATAAGAGAGAAAATAGTTTTTTTGCTAATTGAAAAAAATTAAATTTCATTTTTAGAAGGAAAGTCAGTTGGCATCTGAGGTCCATTAGAATTCTAGATCTATGATCCTAACTGGATTTTCTTTTTCCTGAATGGCCATCTTAAATGCAAACCACTCTACCCCAGAATATCTTTAAAATACGCACTTATCTAAAATCTGCCATCACAAAAGCCCAGAATCTAAAAGCTGGAAAGGGCCTCAGAAGCCACCTTACCCAAACCACACCTAAACAGGAATTAGCTCTTCAGTCATTCCAGACAAGCAGTAAGTCCTCCAGACTACACTTGAA